TTCGCCCGCAATAAGCTTTTCAAGAGAGTCGATATTCGCCAGTGCCTTATCGACTTCCCCTTCGTCCACTAGCGTCTCACAACTTGCAAGGCCATCTGCAATCTGCCTCAGCTGAAGCACAGCATCATTTAGCTGTCGCAGATTTTCTTGGCGCCTTCGCTGGTAAACAATCTGGAGGCCTCTGGTCGCGATTTCTTCGTCCAAAGCTTTAAGCTCTTTTCTGAGCGTCTTAATTCTCCCAACGGATTCCGCGGCCTCTGAGTGGAGTTCCTTCAACGATCCCAGCGCGGTAAAAAACGTCGTTGATGCGGTGGAGATGGAGTTGATGAGATGAACCTCGATAGTATCCATGTACCAAGACAACTTCTCTTGCAAAATTGCATTGGTTGCAAGAGCCTTCCTTGGCGCGGCAGCGCTTCCATTGAGTGAGCTTTGTCCGTCATCGGTGTTGGCGGGTCGGATAACTTCGGATCGTTCGCTCACAATGTCAAAAGTTCGGGGATTCTCGAGATGGAATTCATCGTCAAAGTACACAGTTGGGATTGTTGATAGAGGAGGTGGTCCATGCGTGGACCTTCGGATGAAGCCAGCACTTGGTCTTCTCACAGGACTATGACCATCATTCGAGTTCATCGAAGAAAGTGATGCAGTCGAGCCTTTCCGAGTTGGACGAGGCTTGGGGCCCGGCCGTAAGTATCCATCACCGCTCGATTCGGTCGGGGTATCCTGCCGGCTAGAGCGCTGCTCTTTGTTGGCCTCCTCGTCGCTCTCTTTCAACCGTTGAAGTTGTTCGTATAGGCTTCCGATCTGTGACAAGTAGGGCTTGAATTCCTCAGTGTCGACTTTTGTGATGTTCGTCAACGTTACTGGGGGAATATCCCGGGCCGTCGGGGGTTTATGCGCGGTTGAGGCTGGTGCTGAGGTGTGAGGCTGAAGACCAGTTCGTACAATTGGGGGTTGAAGAAGGGTTGAGATAGCTTCGGGAGGTTAGCTTTGCGATGAAAGATCCATGAAGTAAAACGAACCATTCTGACTTGACTCGTATACTGAAGCTGCCAGATTGCTGGGAGCACTGTCAAGGATACCTCCTACTGAATGGATGGAGCTCGCTGTAGAGCCACGTCGTGCTGACGGGTGGGGATGCATTGGTGCATGTCTATGATTGTTGCTGTACCCAAGTTAGTCTCGTCTGTTGGTATGAAATAAAGGCATAGAAGGCTACCTGTGGAAGGGAAGCTCCCCACGACCTATGGGCGACAATGATGCAAGGTTGTCCGCAGACTTGGCAGCGTCGGGAGAGCTGGGGGAGAACATGGTCAACGAGATTCGGATAAGCAAGAACAGCTTCAGAGGTGGATGCGTGATGTAGATGGTGTATTATTAGGGTATCATCGTTCAAAGAATTGGAAACAAAATGTGCACCGTCAAACGTATGTGATAGATAAGATTTGAAAGGACAATTAAGTAAAGAAAAAAAAAAAGAAAGAGTCTAGAATCAAGAATGCGCCATCATCACCAAAAAGGGTCTTGAATAGTACCTTCAGTACGTCGCCGTCTAGACACCTTGTAAGTTACGCAGCTTCCCCCCTAAACCAATTATTTCCTTGGAGTCAGCACGTGATGATAAGCGCCGAGCTTGATAACTGCCTAGGTACCTAGGCCCAGAGCTGCAACCACTATACGCACGCGTCGCGTCTCGAGGGGCTCCGCGTTTTCGCGTAAATTGACCCTAAGGTTACCCTTCCAACTTGCGGAGCAAAGCCCCTCCATCGATCCACAAGCAAGATCTCCAAACTCCCTGGTCGACTTTTAGGCTTGCAACGAAAGGAAAGGAGTGATTCACCAGATTATTCAAAATCACACAGCTACACAATGGATCGCGGATCAATCTACTCGGCTCATGTCTATGAGCCGAGTTACGCTGAGAATGGCGATACTCGAATGCAGCTCCAGACACAGCTCGAAACATTCATTCTTGACTTTCGACTGGATAACAACTTCGTCTACAGGTTTGCCCCAAATATCTATCCCTCGGCAGTCCTTCATAATAACAGTGCTGTAGAGACCAACTCCGAGAGAATGCCCTTCTCAAAAGATACTTCTGCGATGTCAACATCAACGACTTGATCAGCTTTAACGAAGAGCTCGCGCACCGGTTGACATCCGAGCCAGCAGAGATTATCCCTCTAGTAAGGACCACGCAGCACGCAATACATAAATTTCTAACAAGGCAATAGTTTGAAAATGCACTAAAAAAATGCACACACCGTATTGTCTTCCCCCATGAGCCCAAGGCCGAGATCCCTGATCACCAACTTCTTCTTCACTCGAATGCCGACGACGTCTCGATCCGTAACCTCGATTCCGTGGCCATTGCGCGACTGGTACGAGTCCCGGGTATTGTTATCGGTGCCTCTGTTATGTCGTCCAAGGCGACAGAACTCCATATCCAATGCCGCAACTGCGGGCACACACAAAACATTCCTGTCCTAGGTGGCTTCACAGGTGTCACTCTGCCTCGACAATGCGCCCGTAGCCGAGTCCCCAACGATCCAACTCCAAAATGTCCTTTGGACCCCTACTTTGTTGTTCACGAAAAGTCTGGCTTTGTCGATCAACAAATCATCAAGCTTCAAGAGGCTCCCGATCAAGTCCCTGTCGGAGAACTGCCTCGACACGTTCTCATCTCAGCTGACAGATACCTCACAAACAGAGTTGTTCCCGGATCGAGATGTACTGTTATGGGCATCTTCTCGATCTACCAAAATAAGGCTTCTAAGAACTCTTCTACCGGTGGTGCTGTAGCCATCCGTACCCCTTATCTCAGAGCGGTTGGAATCCAGACGGATATCGATCAAGCAGCCAAGGGAAATGCGACTTTCTCAGAGGAAGAAGAGCAAGAATTTCTGGAGCTCAGCAGACGACCCGATATATACAACGTGATGGCCGACTGCATTGCGCCCTCTATTTACGGAAACCGCGATATTAAGAAGGCAATTCTTTGCTTGCTGTTAGGTGGTTCGAAGAAAATCCTTCCCGATGGAATGAAACTAAGAGGTGACATCAACGTATTGCTTCTTGGTGATCCCGGTACAGCCAAGTCACAGCTTCTGAAATTCGTCGAGAAGGCGGCTCCTATCTCTATATACACCTCAGGAAAGGGTTCCTCCGCTGCAGGTCTGACAGCATCTGTTCAACGTGATCAATCTACTCGCGAATTCTATCTCGAAGGTGGTGCCATGGTCTTGGCCGACGGAGGAGTTGTGTGTATTGATGAGTTCGACAAGATGAGAGACGAAGATCGAGTTGCGATCCACGAGGCTATGGAACAGCAGACTATTTCGATCGCAAAGGCCGGTATCACTACTATTCTGAATGCGCGAACATCGGTCTTGGCTGCTGCCAATCCTATCTTTGGTCGATATGATGATATGAAGACTCCTGGAGAAAACATTGACTTTCAGACTACTATTCTGTCACGTTTTGATATGATTTTCATTGTCAGGGATGATCATAGCCGCGAGAAGGATGAGACAATGGCCAAGCACGTTCTCAGTATCCAGATGAATGGTAGAGGCGCCGAGGACATGACTGAAACCGAAATTCCTATTGACAAGATGCGACGATACATCACCTACTGCAAAACGTGAGTCACAATTCCAAGCCTTTTATTTTTATTCTATTTTATTTGTACTAATATCCGACAGACGTTGCGCACCCAGACTCAGTTCTGAAGCTGCTGAAAAGCTTTCGTCTCACTTCGTCTCTATCCGACGCCAGGTCCACGCTGCTGAGATGGAAGCAAACACACGTTCCTCTATTCCCATTACAGTCCGTCAACTAGAGGCTATCGTCCGTATTACCGAGTCTCTTGCCAAGCTCACCCTTTCTCCCATCGCCACTGAAGTACATGTTGACGAGGCCATTCGACTGTTCCTGTGCTCTACCATGGATGCTGTCAACCAGGGCAGCAACCAGGGCAGCCGCGAGTTGAACGATGAAGTTAACCGCCTCGAGACGGAGCTCAAACGTCGTCTACCTATCGGCTGGAGTACTAGCCTATCTACACTTCGGAGAGAAATGGTCGAAGGCAAAGGATACAGCGAACAAGCGCTCAACCGAGCGTTGATGGTTCTCCAACGGAGAGATACGATCATGTTCAGAAACCAAGGTGCACAGGTGTATAGAAATGGAGCGTAATGTGGCGATGAATGCAGGTAATGTAAAAGGCTGGTTTGTCAATTTCGGTAGATGTCTTGGTGGTAGACTGTGTTTACGAGTAATGAGGCGAGATCATTATGACTGTTGTATATGAACAAATTTTTAAAAGACAACAAGACTCGAAGTCCCATTATGGATCTGAATAAAATGGTGAATCGTTTCCCTGCTTGTCAGAGCAGGTACAGAGTACCTTTGACTACACGTGAGGTTGTTGCCACTGGGGTTGTTCAAGGGAAAAGATCCGCTCAATAATGGCTTACCAAGGCCCAGCTACACTGATCATATATTGGCCCATTCAATAAGCAAAATTCTGTTTTGAGAGAAAATATGAATTAAACGGAAGTAATAGAGACGCAACGGAAGGAAAGGGGGGATGCATAAAATACACCGCCGTACCAAAGTAAGGTCTTGACTTAAACAGAGACCAGCCATGGTTCAACATGTGGTGCGAGGTTTAAGTCAATAGTGCGTTGTTATATATTAGTCTTGTGCTGAGATGATGCATAGAATACATTTGACCTCCTCGTGCAATGGAACCAGACAAGTCTGGTGAGTTTTGTCCCCTGTATCGATTCCATCGTAACCAAACCCACATCCATGTTAACTCCAACCATGGAAAGAAATTCAATTTTACCAACATTGATGATACTTTCAGCGGGTTGGGCGATAATGGCCATCAGATGTGCTGAGGCCCAAATCCCTATCCCGTGAAACTTCTATATATGCTTAATTTGCATCATATATTAGACAAAAGGAGATGATGATCACTGGTGAGTGCCTCAGTGGATAGACTTGCTTGTACGAGTCTTTGTTAAACTGCGGCGAAGAGCATTGCTCGCCCGACGCTCCAATTCGGCCTCATGCGCCTCCTCGGCGGCCTGGTCCTCCGTGATGACCTCGTGCTTGGTGCGCATGCGCTGTAACACATTGGCGGCTTCGGCGGCAAACTCGCACTTCATACGGATAGTTTCTCCGTACTTGTAGAACAGGAACGGAAACGGGACACAAGCGACGGCCAGGAAGGCAGGGATGGAGCTGGCCCAATGAATTCCCAGGTCGTTGTACATGTACGTCGTGAAGAGCGGGAACGCGGCGCCAAAGAGGGAGCGCAGGATTGAGTTTGCAGCCAACACCGAAGCAGCGAAGATAACATCTAGAAGAGTTTAGCTGGAGGAGATGAGAAGAATCGCTGCAGCGGAACTTACATGAATCAATGAGGTAGTTCAATAGTGAAAGAAAGACCGAGACCAAGCCGCAAGCGAAAAAGGCCGAGCCGATAATAGACACAATCCAATGCACATCTTTGCCGTTGGTCCAGGCAAACCAGAAGAGGCCGACTGGGATAAGTATTGAGCCAACGAGTGAAGGGGGCAGTCTAGCTTCAGGAGGTGCATGACCACCTGCGGCTTCGGCAGCCCGCGTATATCGTTTTTGGTCCAGGATAGTACCAGTGACCGCAAATAACATTCCCACAGCGATGCCAGTGAAGGCAAGTCCTCCGATTCCTGGGCTCCATCCACGGCCCTTTTGGAAAACGATTGGGAAGGCAGCAAAGCAGAGATATAATGTTCCGTAGATGATGGCCATGTACAGCGAGGTCAGAAGAACAATGGGTTCCTTAAATAGCAATACCCAGGGACGAAGTATTGCAGTCTTGAGCTGTGTGGCAATAGTGGTGTGGGGACGACCGACATCAATCTTGGAAATATAAACCTTACCAGTCCTTTTGGAAAGGACAGCTGCTCGGCGACGCAAGAGATAGGGAGCATAGGTTTCGGGTATTACTAGTGAGTTAACAATCCAGACAACACCAGTAAAGACTGCCGTCATCCCTTCAACCCAACGCCAACCTTCGTTTTCTCCAAGAAACCCACCAGCAATGGGACCTATCGTAGAACAGTCAGCGTCTTCTTCGCAATGCCGAGAGCATACAAGCTTGTATGTCGAACTCTGTGTCGGGGAATGGCCTACCAATAGTAGGGCCTAGGAAAGGGGCCATAGCAAAGAGAGCTGTAGCAAGTCCTCTCTCTCGAGCATCGAACATGTCAGCAATGACACCACCCGCGTTGGTCAATGGTGATGATCCAAAAGAACCAGCAAAGAAACGAAGGACTATCAAGGCCGCCATGGTCGGAGCACCTGCGGCACCTGCATTGAACGCGGTCAAGGCCATGAAAGAGATAAAGAATGGAATCTGTCGACCATGGAGCTCTGAGATTGGAGCCCAAAGGAGCGGTCCTATAGCGAAGCCGAGAACAAACATCGAAATACCAAGTATGGCAACTTCAGTTGAGACATGGAAGTGCATCAAAATGGATCCAAGGCCTCCAGAGTATGTTGTACTGGCGAAGGTAACCGCAAGTGTTGCTATAGCCTGCAGGATGGTAATAAGCCACTTCTTTGATCGTGAGAAGTTTAATGCATTTCGACTGTCGTTCGGAAGAAACTCAACAAGGTACGGAGAGTCTGCTGTTCCGTGACCAGTGTAGTCGTAGTTAAGAACAGCATCAGTAACGCCGACTTGGTCAAGGATAAGGTTGAAGTGTGAGGTCTTGGCATTTATCTGCTGTGATTCGATGTCGGTTGCATTAGCTATTGTTGAAGAAGCTGAAGATGTAGGAGGTTGCAGCTGCGTAGCGACGGTCATGATGGCGATATGTATTACAGCCTCACAACAGTGTGCAGCCGCTGAAGGAGCCGATATAGACAGAAGTCCTGACGAGTAAACAGCTCAGTATAAGAAGCCGTGTGATATTTGTATGTACACCTCAAGACGGCACACTAGTATCTGATCTAGCAGGTCAGGAGCTAGGATAAGAGCAACCAAGAACGGCACATGCCAAGGTATTATATTCATCTCATGTTGATCTTAGTCCTGTCTGGTCCCTGGTCAGATTCACGGCCCGTCGTCGTTGGAGCAGGGAGCCGAGTAGAGCGTACAGACTGTTATCCTAGGTGACACGGATCGGCACATCCTCTATTAGTTGCTTATAGGCACGAAGCATCTTGCAAACACCAATGAATGCCACGCATGGGGTGCAAGATAGAAAGCATCACGTCTTCCCATCAGCCGAAATCCGTTTGAATCCCGTCCCGACACTCACTTTCCCTGTGGCTGCACTCGGTCATATAACATGTTGTCTATCAGTTGAAGCAACCTTGAGCTGAGGACTGGGGGGCCAACAGGATCGCATAGGGCGATGCGGTTATTCGTCAGCGCTTCTGATCGCCCACAGACTAACGAGGTGCGAATGCCCTTCCAGGGGAGGAGTATCAGGCCAATGTCAGCAATGACACTCTATCAAGCACGTCTCGACCCCCATCGGGAGATACCAGGCTGACTTCGATGAATACACATCAAAAAAGTGTTAGTGGCTATCAATCACATATCAATGAAGCCGAAACCCGCCGACACACCTGACTAATGTTAAGCAGTCACGTTTGCTAAAATGGTTTATTAGCAAGTCATCGGTATTCGGTATCTTATAACGCCGTTTTTTTGTCCGCGATTCGGATCCGAATGAGCCGGCGTATTCTTTCAAGCCCCATTAGGTTATTCATATCAACAAGACGGAAACTCAATTCGAAGCCTGGCCCCACGACCTCGTATGATAGCCTCCCGGACTCTTACGCCGAATAAATCCAGACTTGGCTCCGGATCGATCTTATTCCGTCAGATTAAGTCGAGAAGATGTTGGAGTTGCTCTTTAGTCACCTAATGGCGGGAGAATGCGTTGCAATGTGATGGTTGCAACATGGTGACCTACTAAGCTCGTGATATAAAAGAGAAAGTAAACGGCGTTCGGATCCATTCAAACAACCGTCTACCGACCAGGACAAAAAGTTGCCGAGGCGTATCAATCACGTAAGATGGGAGGAATTGTTCGATACCACGCTGTCTTTCATCTTTAAGTTATACCACAATTCTTTCATCCTTGATCGAGAAGGCGCAGATCCAATTCTTCAGGAACCATTCGTCGTTATGGATTTGATCTTAGTGGACTGTGATATGACGTCTTGTTGTTTGCCGAAAGCAATGCCCTTGGCTTTTCCCGTACTGCCGGTTTAATCTGCAAGACCTTCCCACTCATCTTCGTCTGTGTCAGTTCCTTGACTTGCATCGAAGGCGATCTGTCGAGCATTAAGGCCATGTGCTGCAGCACTGCTTGTACTCTCGCTTTCTGAATCTTTATCTTCATCCTCTTCCTCTTGGTGGTTCCTATCGCCACTGTCATCATCTCTTGCGGTTAGTGAGACATGCTCACCAGTCGTTTTCAAGACTGGCATACCGAGCATGTCACGGATGATCGCACCGCTGTCGTCTCGCAGGTAAGGACCCTCGTTGCCGGTAGTCTCGAAATTCTGTACATCGGGCCTCACAAAACCAGCCACAAAAAATCCCATAACACCTTGCCCGTCGTCCTTATAAGAGCGAATGCAAGCTTCTGCTATTTCTTCATCGCCCCCACTGGCTTCAGGTAGTCCTCGAACGGGCCATTCTCTCAAACCAGAAACTTGATCTTTCCGCAAAAGAATGCGCCAACCCTTTTCCTTCGCAATGTCAGATTCAAGAGCTCTCACGACAACACGCTCGTTTTCTTGCATGTGAATTGAACAAGTAGAGTATGTAATTCGTTTTGCTGCTGGGAATTTGAAGGCGTGTAATAGAAGCGTCAGTTGGAAAGAAGACAGCGCCTCCAAGCGTGCTTCTAGGTCCTTCTCCGACTTGATGGCGGTCTCGTTACCGTCATCGTCTATCATGATCCTGTCCTCAGACGCCTCTGCCTGCTCATGTTTCCTCTTGCGGCTGTTTTGCTTTGCTGCTGGACCCTTTCCCGTGCTGCTGATACCTTCTGGCAGGTGAAGGTCCGGCATCGAATCCCGTCCGACAATACCACTTCCTGAGCAACTTGGATCCAATAGCAAAGCTCCGACTGACTTGTACTTCTCCGCTATGGGGTCGACCTGCAGGAAATCTTGACCAAATCCAATTTTTGTCACAGGCTTCGAACCTGCAATTTTGACCATTTTTTCCAGAGTTTGTGCTCGTCGAGAATCTTTTTCAAATGCATAGATTGTTTGCTCTGGTGCATTGGACTCGGGTCTGTGTTCTTTGAGGATTGCTGCCAAGTGAGTTGTCTTATTGCCAGGAGCAGAGCATGCGTCGATCAGGTCGCCATCCTCTACTCTGGGGTCTAAGAGATAAGCAGGGAAGCAAGAGGCTTTATCTTGTAGAATGATTTTGCCAGTTGTGTACGCCTCTGTTTTTGTGAGATCGATTCCTGCAGTGATGGCCAGAAGGTTTGGCACATGTGGGTCAACGTATATGAGTCTTCCAGCGTTCGTGACAACCTCCTTGATGGATGTGGCTCTAGTGTACTTGGAGAAAGTCGTTTCCAACTGTTCTTCGAGTGTACTCTTTACAGCATTGACACGAACCCAACGAGGGTAATTCGCTTCTTCGCCAGCGCATTGTCTCTCAACTTGCTCTTTCAAAGCTTCGAGTGTTGGCATCTTTCTCCGAAGCCGTGCAAGCTTGAACTCTGAGCTTATGCGTCCTTTATGCCTCTCAATTGATGCACGAAGTCCATGGCCTTGTGGAAGAGCAATTCCCTTCTTGGCCAACAAGAGGTCATGTACAAGAAGTAATGACAATGTCGGAGTCAGCTGCGTGGATGATTTAGTAAAGAAGGTCCGGAGTCTAGCGTAACGATGGGCTGCAAACCTTGCGCTCAAGTTTCAGGAGCTCTGATCTCTCAATCACTTCTTTCAGAATGAGACTCCATTTGCAGCTCTCTAACACCAAGGCGTAAACTTGATTTGGTGCAGATTTGAGATTTTTCTTCTTGAAAACACGCGACTTGAGACTACCGCCTTCAAACGATGAGCCCGTCAGGATCTCTGCTGCCTCATGATAAAGAGACATTTTCAAGGTGGCTTTGAAGGAGGAAGTGTCGTATGGTGAAGAAGAAAATGGAAGAGAGAAAGGCTGGTCGTTCGTTCAATTTTAACCGAACTTTAGCCGATGGAGAAAATCTGTATAAGTGAATATTCTGTGTGCTGTATCCTCTTCGCGAGAATTGAGGAAGGTTTTTGGGAATGCGAATGGACGAAGGCGTAAAGTTCAATAGGGTGTAATGTTGATCTAGAGCCCCTGACGATGAACGGAGGCTGTTGCAGTAAGTTGAGAATCCGCGTTCCCAGGCTGACACTCGATTCTTCATTCGAGCAATATGGTCCTTAGTAGGATTATTATGGGTGCAACTACTATGCCAATCTGAGTTTGAGGACACTTTGATCACTGCTATGTGCTGTGAGTTAATGTATTTTGCATATGCCCTGGATTCGTAATGGGCAAAAGATATGCGCTCAAGCGCTTTGGGCCCTTGGCAAGCAAGGTATGTCCTCCATAAATGTACATGTGTAGAAGCGAATCATCCAAAAACTTTCTTCCTTCCCCTCAATTCCATTCCCTTGCACCACGCAAACTTGAATCGAAATGCCTGTCCATGAAATCGCCAACCTTATATTTTCCAGTCCAAGGAAGCGAAGTGGTCACTGGACCCCTATACAAGATGCTCCGTAGATGCACCATGGCAAGAAATGTTAGAAAATCTTTTCTCCACCTAGACTGCCATTCAAAGTATGTTATTAGCAGACCAAGTTCGCCAGTCTGCTATGCTTAGCGGCGGAGGTGGCTACGGCGGCGGAGATGGTTGTGTCCACTGCCATGGTGGTGAGCATGTCGTCGAACATGATCTCGCTTGTAGGCAGGAGTGTCAGCCTCAGTTTGAGCAGGCACACTGGCTGTTTGTGTGATTGTGACGGTGTTCCAGACGGTATGAACTCTGGTTTTGCACTTCTTGGGCTTTTCAGGCTTGCCGAAGATTTCGGTTGGCTTGGGGGCACTAGAGAGAACATCGGTTGCTTGAGCAGCCGCCTCGGAGACTGCTGCAGGATGGGAAGGTAGAGTAGGCTTAGGGATAATTGGTTCCTCATGGATATCAGTGGAATCAGAAGCGGGCTTGGTGTAGCCGGGAACTTCAACGGCAGTGGTCTTCTCCCCAGAAGCCGGCTTGCTGGCGGAAGGTTCGATAGAGGGCTTGCTAGGGCTGCTCTCCTTATCGCCGCCGGAGGGCATTGAAGGGACCTTGTCGCCATAAGAAAATCCACTCAAAGGGTTATTTCCAGGGAGTTTGCTCAAGGTGCCGGTGATCTTTTCATCAACCTCGGACTCGATAGTGCAGTCGCCTTTGTTGAGGCCGTAAGTGAGGCCAGGGCAGTGGTCCATACCCTCGGTACCAGCGTTACAGGTGTCAATGATGTGCTGGAGGAGATCTTCGTCCCAACCGGCCATGAAGTCGGCATGGCTGCTGTATCCAGTAACGTCACCATTGGAAAAGACGAAGGGCTGTTTGCCCTCACCCTCAGTCCAGCGGCCAGTAAACTTGTCGGTGCGCCAGTAAGCCTCGTAGAAAAGGTGAGGAACGTGAATCCAACCCTTGGGGCAGTCGAGGTAACCGTCATTGTCCTCGGGGTAGGCCATGTTGTTCTTGAAGTCGGTGAGGCCAGCCTCGGGATTGTAACAAGAGGGAAAGTGGACATCAGCTCGGAGGGGAGAGTATTTGCCATCACAAGTTCGATCAGGGAAACCGACACCCTCACCCTTGTTGACAGGATCACCAACACCTGCCAACTTGCCATCAGACTTAGCATCCCAAGATGGGAGCGTGTAATCGTTGTTCAAGCGGGGGCAAGTCATTCTGGCAGGATTGACAGGACCCTTTGAAGGGTCAAGATTGGGCTTGCTGCCAGCCTTTGGCATGGTACGGGTCATAGCATCACCAGCAACGATCTGGAGACCAACAGGGAAAGGCTTGATATCATCGTGTGTCTTCTCGAAACTGGTCGCTTTGTCAGTAACATGCGCAAGACAGTACGATAACTGGGAAAATGAAGGGCTGGAGTGGCGCAATGAGACAAGGCAGTGCTCTTACAAGTAGTAGGCGTTGAAGTAGTCGAACTCAACATCTTCAAACTCCCCAGATTTGGGGTCATGGAAATAAAGAGTGGGAAACCAGTAGTTACTGTTGTCGCCCTTGACAAGCGCGTTGCTGCACTTTGACTTCTGGAGATCCTTCCCGGTCGCCTTGGTGCTGAAGCCACTGCCACCCATGATGTGGTGGACATGAGTGGAAGTCTGGCCAGGGAAAAGGATAGGATCCATACGACCTCTAGTGAGCTGGTCGTTGGTGAAGCGCAAGACGGCGAAGGTTCCCGTCTCGTGAGCAGCAGAAGCGGCGCCGGCGAGAACCGCAGCGGCGGTAGCGTAAACGGACTTCATGATGGTTGACAATGATAAATGTTGGTTAAAGGTATCAAGTTTATGGTTTAACCGCACGGAAAGATTTTCGACAGCGGAGTGAGAAACGATGTAAATGCTAGCGTCGAGATCTCTGGGATTTGAGCGCTGAGAATGAAACCTGATTCTTCTTCAAGAGGAAGCAGACAAGTGTAAAGCGGGGAGGGCACGCAGGTGATACCGGAGCACCTGTGAGAAGAAAGAATGTTTCGCAACCGTCCAGTGACTATGTGAAGTGCAAGTGAATCAGAGCCGACGGATAGATCGTGGTGGTTGACAGTGGAAAAGGAGGGTACAAGCAGTTCAGAGAAAAGAAAGGTCTGAAGCTGCTCTGAAGAATGAATGAGTGAGTAAGTAAGTAGAGCCGAAAAAGAGAAAGGATAGGACGTGCCCAGCAGTGCAGTGTACGAGGGAAAATAAGATAAATAAGAAAAAGAGCGTGTGGAAGGATGAAGAGAAAGAAGTATGTTGGACGAGGATCAGAGGTAAAGGTCTCTGTGTGAACGGGGGACTGAATTCTTTAGGATCCATTCATTCGCTGCAGCCGCCAACACTGGCGCACAGCGCATAAGGCTGCTATAATCAGCACTGCACCGGCCCTGTCACTGCGGCCACTTTGATATTCTCTAAACGCGTGCACGTCCATCATTGGTTTCTTGGCTTTCTCATCATTGAGGTTGTCTATTTGATCAAAGGATTATGATGATGGAGCCTATGGGCGTGGCGAGCTACTATTCCCCCGTTTTTACTAACGGCCAGGGCCCATTCAGGGGTCATCCAAGCCTCCAGGCGTTTTCGGAACTTTCTAGTGTAGCGAAATGGTGAAAGAGGATTGGCTACAACGGCTCACGCCACATATGGGGGTCATGTGTAAATTAAGGTATTAAACCTTGATTTTTTTGCTCGACTTTGTCGTGATAGCTGATGAAGAGGCAGGAGACAAAGTCAGATGAAACAAGCAAGAGTTGGGTCAGCAAAGAGCGCTAATATCCAGAGATACCATTGGGTATTTGTTCTCGGTTTTCATAGGGCTGGTCAGAGTCTATATTGCAACGTATATGCGTACCTGCATCGAAAACCCTCAGTCATGGCGGTTGGCGCCCAGGTTAGTGGATGATGGACAGGGGAACTTGACAGGGGCCGTGAACCACCCTCCACACCTACGTAGAAAAAAACAACTTCCTCAGTGAATGTTCCTCATAAGGTTAGTAAGGTAGGAAGGCGGTAACGACTGCAAGCAGTGTACAACAGAGATGCGCTGGCGGTCGGTGTGACTTGGAACCGGCCCAGTCATGTTTGATTGGTGGTGGTGGAATTGAAGAGCTACAGTCCGTATTTCTGCACTCCGACTTCATCTGCTGTGATACATCGATCATGAAGATGTTTGCTCAGACTGATTATGCGCCACAACCGCAGTTGCAATACGAGCTGCACAACCGTCACTCCTCGTCTTCTACTACTAAGCACACAGAACAGAAAAGGTTCAGAACAAAGAGGACCGGCCCGTCAGATCTTGGAGATTACAGGGTCACACCCTAAAGTGCCTGCAGATCGTGACCTGGTCTGAAACAACAGGGGTCTTGTTGGTGTTGCAGGGGTAGAGCCATGGGCTTAATCTGGATGACTGAGATGGTCCTTGGGCGATCAACGACTATAACTATTGACGGTTAGTTCACCTGATGACAATTCGATAGTCAATTATATGCTGTCGCCACCTCATTCTGAACAGCCAAGTATACACATTTCTCAACCTTCAATCCCCCGTACTGTCATGAGCAATGCAGAAAACCTCAGGCTGATCCTTGTACTATTACTTGTGGCCGCGAAACGGAGCGGGTGTTTCAACCCTGGAGCAACCTAAACTGGGGTTCAGAGAAACAAACAGTGTATCCTTGTCTTCACTCGACGACCTTTATCGTTTTCGTTTCCCTCTGTTGAGCCTCCAAGCAGTATCCGAACATCACTCATAATTACGCGTTGCTGGTTTTGCGCCACTAATCCCCAGCAAGGGGTCGACAATCGTTGGATTGATCTGGGCTGTTAAAGACAACCTCGCGTGGCTTCTGCCTTTCTCTTTCTTGTCTGTTTGAGGATTACCTAAAGCTCCACCGAAATGACCTGAAACGCGCCAGGATTCTCCCTGATTGTTAACCAAGGGAGCGCTGTCAACCGTTGAGTCCTCTTCAACTCCTTAACTTTGAAGACTGGCTCTGAAAGGTAATCGGCTTTGTTCGATGAATTGTTCCCGCCGAGATGGGTTAAGCATCTATCTACGCTATGTCGTAAGTTATCTACAGGGAAACGGCTCGACAACTCCTTTTTTAGGCTGTCTCAATTAGACTGTATAGCTGGATTGTATTGGTTAATGCGCATATCCCTTCTGCAGCTGCTCTTCACCACCAGGTCTCAATTTGGAGTTAATGTCTCTTCCTTCATCAACGGCAATGTGTGCCATGAAACGCCCGACTATTCCGCGAGCGGTTTCGAGGGACTATTATTTGTCCGTAGTAAGAATCGATGTTAAGTCAGTAACCATCCACTAGCAAACATTATGGACTTTCTTCAGTTGTGATGGTATAAATGCAATGCCAAATGACAATAGCTCTTAGCCATGCCTATACCAGTTTCTCAAGGAAACGCAATGCCTCTACTGATAGAGATATACCCCTCAACAAACATCAGTCAACGCCGGCCCTCACACAATATAAGATATCGGCTTGATGCCGTGCTAGCATGTTAACTTTTTATTTACATTGAAAGTTAGCTGGATAGAGGTACTGGGATCCAACTCACTGTCTATCTAAGAACGCATAACTACACATGCCTCCATGGTGATTTTCTGATCCTCGAGTGACAGAAACTTCGATGAAGCAGTCAACCGGCCATTTAGTATTGGCTAACTGCACCAGTCCATGATTGATCATTTCACGACGTCTCAAACCACCAGGCCCGTTCACCACTGCGTAAGCTTTGATGATAGGTGGAATGTCAATTCGTCATTCAGACATATCTCATAGAAGGCAACTGGAGCCGTGGAATCATCGTCATTCAGAACAGGCTTCAAGTTGTACGAAAGTCACACATGCTTGGCAAATGAATACAGGTATCCGCCATCCAGCTCTTGCAATCTTCGGTTGATCAGTCTAGGCATGGGGCCTATTCAACCTTCACACCTACCTACATAAAGTCCAAAAGAGAGACTTGGATAATAGATTGAACAGTATATCATTCAATTCAGCCACAAATGCATTTGTATAAGCCAGTGTGAGCCCTAGTCTTTCAATATTGGCTAGTTACATTTGTGTTAATCAAAGCGTTTTCAAGGTTAATATGTCCATGACTAGGAATGGCCTACCCTGCGTACAGTGACAATGCTTGGGAACAAAGCCCAAGCAAGATCAAAATAAAGTTCCAAGTTTCGCTGTGTAGAATATGAAAGCTAGCCTTATTACAACAAATGGCAATCATACCAAATGGTGCTGGACTTTGAGTCGACTGCCAGAACAAAATATGTGGTTATATTTTCCAATTTGACTCTATAACGAACTTCGTGATGCATGCTATCTCAGTAGATATTGTCCTGGTTTAGTCACCATCAGTGATATATTCCCTGATGTCAAGTTCAGAGAACCGACGGCCAAGAAAACAATGCTGCTGCTGAAGAGACCCAACGATATATAGAGAAACTCTCATTTCTCTTCCCCATTTTATCAGGAGTACGAAAATAAAAATTGCATGATCTCTGTTCCGTCCCTTTGACGAGTAAGGCACTATCAAAGCCACCAACAGGCCAATTCGTGGCATCAAAGATATAGAGATTCCTGATATGGTACTGGACCAGTCATGAGCTCACATAAAGTTTCATGCATATACTGCCGCTGGAAGAACATGTCAATGATATGAACCCCTTAACATCCGTTGGTTGTATTGTTATGCAAGCCCCCATTATTCGGTCAGAGACATGCTCGTAGTCTGTTTGCTATCCACGGCTGACGGGGGATATCCTCCGTTTTCTGTATAAGCTCTCTCGAGAGTCAGCCGATGTCTCGGACGAGACCTCCTCTCACCGTTATGCGGAGATGGCAGATCGACGTCAAATTCCATGAACAAAACGTCTCAGGGGCATAGTCATGCGCTTTCAAGAAGTACTTTTTACACGGGCGTGCATAAAAGCACTGAATGTGGGAAATCTCGATATCAAGCCACTCACACCAAACTGGACAGCCACTTTTGCAATGCATCCTGAAACAGCCGCTGTTGATGTTGTCAAAAGCACGTAATCGGTAATGTGTGGCGTGCGGGAGGGATACTAGTGCTGCCGGTTTATCTCAAATGGGTTTGCTTGAGACATTTTCATGCAGAAGACTTTACCATGCGCTGACATAGTAAACTTCCCTTACATGCTGTACCCCCTCGGCCCATGTAATATATCAGGAGGCTGAGCCAGTAGCCAGGAATGGTGTGTTTACTTTTTTTCCCTGATAAACACTCACGTACTAATTCGATACAGCTTCCAGACCTTTAGAAAACTCCCGCTTGCCTCACATGCCAAGCTTCACGGTCTGGTCAAGCATCCAATCTGTAAGCAGGGACACGATAGGAGAAGCGAGAAAGGGGAAGAGGAAGAATGGAGCTTTAGACATTAACAATCGCACTTCGAAGGCGTCTTGAGCTCTGGCATAGCTAGGATTGATGTCTTGATGTCGGCTAACACAACGTTGGCAACGAATCTGCTGTTGCCAGTTGCTCGATTCGCCACATAATTAGTCATATGCAAGAAAGACACATGTGCCGTACCATGTTGAGCTGAGTCCTGTATAATGAGGGGCAGCGCCGAGAGGCGACACGAGGGATGAGTTGCTGGATCAAAGATGTGTCTCAAAACCTGGTGTCTTTCTCCGGGCCTTGGCGTGATCGACAATGAGCGTGATTCAGAAAACACCATGTCAGATTTGCCTCTGCTTGTCACTCACATATCATCGATGAGTGGAATGTTACAGCACGATTTCTCCGGAGACTCATCTCGAATGCCTTTCTCCGGAATCGGCCGAGGGCTGAAGCCCGAGCTAGAAACAACGAAACTTGTTCGCAAGAGTCTCCTTATCGTGCAAGTCCAAGTTCTCCCTTTTCAGTATTTTGACATCCATCGTCAAGGTGCGAGATCAGGTGTCGTATGGCATCTCTCCCTAAGGAAGCGATACCATACTCTCGGAGATTTGCCTTGACAAGCGATCTCTGGGTTAACTAGTTGAGTATCTCATTCGAGATCAGATAACAGAGCTTCCCAGACACCCAATAGATGCGGGAGCTTGCGTAGTTCCCGCATCAGATTCAACCGCTTTTCGGTTTCTACCAACTTCGGGCAAGTCTCACGAGTTTGGTTTGAGGGTGGAGATAGAAGAATAGCAGACATTGGTAGTATGAGACCCAGGAATATTCCGAAAATGATGGGTTATTGAGCAGTGATTCTGAAATTGTCTAATGTTTATTAACTAAGGTTCTGTCTGGCACCCGCTGATCGACCTGGGTGTGTGTTTAACAAGGGCAGCCGTCTGGAAACGGCTGATTCGCCAACTTTGATATCTGTGAATGTGAAATAGCTTACTGAATGCGACCAACTCCCTTCCTCCGAGATGGTTCAGCATGATACTAGTTGCCGATCAACTCAGCGTAGTGGTGTGGTGCTGCCAATCTCTTGGATACCCTCCTAGACAGTTGGGCAATAAAAGAACGTTGAACTTAACGACAAAGAATAATGCTGCCCCGTCACAAAGTTTTCTGTCATCTGATCTCTTCTCGCGAAATCTCACTTTGATATCCTAACAAGTACTAGTAAACTTGACCTATCACATTCAACAAGTTGCACGCATCTTGCCACTTTTGCACAAGCTCATTGATCCAGTCACTGCTTTCATTAGAAGCATTCAAACCTCCCCAGTGAGCGGCCATGCAGTTGAATTTCGGTGAAAAACAATTCACTACACAGCTTGCTTCGTGGACGCACACAGAAAACATCTGGTTTGGGTCCGAAAGTTCGACTGGAATGCGACTATGACTCGTGGCCCATGTACCACTCTTACTCGATCGTCCGAATCTGGTCATAACAGCTAGGTTCTGGGAAAGGCTCTGAGGCCATGCAAAGGAATAAACATCATGCACCTGGAGTCATGGGAATACCTGCGCATCCTGGCTGCAAGGGACAAGACACCCCAGCCATTGTTAAACTTGTTGTTCAAATAATATTAGTGCCAGAAGAGAGTGAATTCTATTCGTTGTGGGTCGACTTCTTGGTATCATGCATCCGCGGCTGGATGTGATATGCTCCGTTGAGCCATATATGACCTTTCCCAAGAGGAGTTGTGATTTCTAACAGGCCTTTGGGGCTCTTGACGAGAACAACGAGGGATCATGTAGGACGAGAAGGAGAATACATGTTGTCTTTATTCCATAAGTTGTGATTTTCACATAGTGCCCCTTCCCGACATGAACTTATATGCTGAAACTCTTTTAACTGAAGCATGCCTTGCCGAAACAAATGAAAACTGTGGTATAATGAGTACTTCAGAACAAACCTTCATTCTGTAGCGCAGTATAGAAACACCCAGGTAGCATCGTCAATCAGTATAGCGCCGTATTATCCCATCCGTATACGTGTATAACCCGAAACATGCCTGCCTTGAAAACACATTGAACGCCTTGTATATATTATGTTGCGTCTTCACTATCGCGCCGAACGGCGTCGCCTCTTTCCTTGCAACGTAGCTTCGCCATCATCTTGCTCTCCGTCGCTCGAATCGTCGTGGCTCCTGGCATTTTTGGACCGGTCATTTCCCTTCTTGATAGAAATAATACAGCCTTGTTCTTTAAGCCGCTTGGTCAACTTTGTACTAGCCTGCATCCCAGGAAAGTCTTTTGCTGTATAGACAGTAAAAACATCGCTCTGAGCGTCAACTAAAGTCGGAAAGCGCTTGACCTCTTTTGCACGGATCGGGTCAATTTTGACCAAGGTGAAATGAAGGCGAAATGAGCCAGGAGTTCTGCAGGATAAGTCTGGGAAGCAGAAGAAGCAACCTTCCTCGCCATGTTCATCCTTGCCGACGAACGGGGCACTGACTAGTAAGCCCATGAGTCGGCGTTGTTGCCGATACTCTTCAGGCATGAACGAGGCATCACAGGACCCAGATTCATCGTAAATAGAGCAGCTCATCACGTAGTGAGGATAGCGCAGATGTTTTACTGTCTCCTCTTTCGTGAGATTGGCACCTTCAATGAGAAGCTGGACGATTGGCGGTGGATCGATTACTCTCCGGTCTCTTTCCCCAAATCCACATGATCGAGCAGCAATTGGTTGCTGCCGTATCTGGAGCCTAAAGCAAACATCGCCTGAGCGATTGTTCACGCTCATGCTACCGCCGCGTCCCTCGTCAGTGGTAAGAATATCGGATATTCTCATAAGATCAGGCCTTGGTTCAGTTGGAGATACCATAGGACTATTCGAATCAGGCAGTCCACCATCGGTTGTAACAGCCGGGTTGAAGCGATACCCTGTGAAGGGAGGAACGGCACACATATCGATTGATGATCTATGCTGACCATGTACAAAGGCGGATGGTTGGTCCTCTGACACTGAGTGCAGTCCCGGCGCATATACTGGGTGGTGACCTTGCACATGGTCTACCGTTTCGCTATTTCGTGAAAGAAAAGAAGATGGAGTTTGGGGTGGACGGACTTGCTGTCCAGCTGTAAGGTCAGAAGCATAAAGCCTAGGTGGCGGGGGAGGGTGATGATGTTGGTTTTGAGGCACAGAGCCTGGCATTTCGGTCAGTTGGTAAACATGGCCAGTTCGTGGGTGCTGAGGATGCTGCGGATGTGAAGGACGACGATGGTCGGGTCCTACGGTGAGTAGGCCCGTCTGGGAATACAGTTGTTGGTCATAATGAGAGTGAACTGGACCCCGAGGAGGGTGATGGGTGTCTGGGGCCCAATTCATTATTGTCGTTGCGTGTGGATGTGGCATGGCCTCCGACATGGTCTGTGGCATCGCGTTTAACCGCTGTGATGTTCGCGCGGCGGTCTCGACAGCTGTGAGAGACATGAACGTTGTGGAATATCCTGGTTCAGTCAGGAAGGATTGCCCTCAACATAGATGTATGGGAAAGAGAGACGCCAGTGTCGAGCTTATTAGTGGAGGATCAGTGGCGGCTTAGATCGGTTGCATCAACAGCTAACTTATACCCAGGTACTCCGTACAGAACCCTTCGGTAGTATCCAATAAGGGAATAGGATCAACCAAGCCAAAGGGAAGAAAAGAGCGGGAAGGGCCCAGTAGTCCACTACCTCCAGGGAGCCGGTTGTAAGCCGGAATGCGGGCGGTTCCACTGACCAGATAGACGATGGGGGAGTGGGTGAAGGCTGGTGTAGTAAAAGGCGTGTAGCCTCAATGGACTCCCAGCGCTCTGAAGAGACGCTATTGACTCAGATCGATTAAAGTCTTTCTTTGGGTGAGACTAGCAAGTTGGCTAACGGCCGAGGGTGGCGGGAGAATCTCGGCAGGCCCACGACAATGTCCGGGTTGAAGAAAGAGGAAACAAAAGATACACAGGCTCATATGCAGCAAGAGAGTCGGGGGAAGAGGGCTGTAGAATGAGGCCGTGGGCAGCCGTATTTCTGCTGTGTATTGATGGGAAACGTGAGGGATGTGGGCGAGCTTGCAACCACACCACAAGAAGCCGGATTTGGTCTTTGCTGAGCCTGGTTCTAACGGGAATATGACGGCTCTAGAGAATGTGAGACTTTGTGTGAGGGAAAAGGATAGCACGACTATTGCGCGGGTAGATATAGGTCAGAACGCGAGGGTACAGAGCTATCGAGCGTCACAATGCAAACACCGCGCCTATGGAATAGAAAACAGGCGCCTGGAGGTGAAGTAGTTGAAGGGACGACGACTCTAAACGCAAAGCCGTTCCAGCCTCAGTCGAGAGCGGAATAAAATGGTTCGAGCCCAAAGGTTTCAGACCGCTGAGGCAAAAGTCAAAACAAAGTAAACTCCCAAGCACTGGAGAACCGGGGAGCCACCAAGATTCCCGTCTTTGTATTGTTGGCGGAGGACCAGTGGCGGAAAAGATGTCGTTGAGCTTTGAGAGGCAGTGAACCGGAAAAAAACTGAAACGAAGCCACCCAGCGGTGTGCTTTTTAAGATCACAGCCAAAATCGTCGATTTCGAGGATTTCCAAATGCGGATCTCCAGAAAACCAAAAGGTTGACTGGCGGGACAGCTAAATGAGTTGCAGTTGAAGATACAGTACAGAATGAGGCCTCACAAACACAAGTTCCAAGGTGATGGATGGCAAAGAAAAGCTCGAGATTATCGAGTATGACAAGGAGATGTGGGATTATTAATAAATATTTTCCATTGCCTGGCCTACCAACAGACATGGAAAAGGCTTGGGCATAAAAACCAAAAAGCACCCATTGGCATTTGCCTCCCGCTACCTTACCTCGGATCACAGCCAATGCTAGGCACGATATGCAAATGGAGCATCCATGGTTAGGTCAAGTAACAAGAAAAATTGTGTTGCTAAATGCAGTAAAGCAACTATGGAGGTCGGCATGTAGGTGAGTAAGTTGAGCAAATGGATGCTTACAAGGGGGCTCCGTATCGATTAACCTGCCATGCGGCCGCAGATAGAAGCCTGAAGCCCCCGTCTCGCAGACCTGCATGCTATGTACCAGGAACCTCAATCAATGGAAGTGCCGCCGGCAGCACTCGCGCACCTATAAGTATGAAAAGAACGGGGCTTATGCAAATCATGAATCTCGGCTAGGAAAGCAGGTAGGTATCGAGGACATGAGTTGGTGTATGGATACTCTGAACTCTCCTGTCCATTGCGTTGTCGTTGCCATGGTCGCGTAGATAATCTTTGTCGTAGGCTAGCCTTGAAACTATCTTTTTTTCCTTTTTTTTTTCTTTTTTCAGATGGACTCTCTAGGACTCTCAAGCTACTTGATCTTGAGTGCACGCTAACGAATGCAGCCTCCGCCAGCAAAGTGCCAGTCTGGGATCTTGGCTCTCAGGTGGGCATTGCACGCCAGCTCATGATGGGTATATGTGGGCCTTGGTGGGTCGATCATCAAGGCATTGGATTCCCTGTAGGGCATCAGAAACACACAGGGGGATGGAGATCAGTGGATGGAATTATCGTGAATCGCATCCCTTAGTTTGGCCTGCTAACCTCGGGTAGCTTAAAGGATATTCCAGGGCTGAATCTGGCTGGCTAAAGACACCCATGGGGATCGATGTTGACAAGATCGATTCAGGTGTGTGCCCGCTTCCCAAACTCGGGTAAGCTATACAGTCCTAGTTCCATTCTATTTACAGTACCTAGATCAAAAGAAAGTCAGAAGGGAGATCGGCAATTTTCATCTTATCGAGGGATCTCAATCATGCTTGTTAGCGGGGAGACACGCCCAGCAAGGGCCAAGTAGCCCTTTCGTGTCTAATCAAGGTAACGAGCATCCATAATCTCTTCGGTCTCAGCCAGCGACCTCTCAACTGTCACACGTCCACACCAACCGTTCGAAGATCGGAGTCGTTGATTACCTCTATCTTGAGTTTAAGTACCCGTGCTGGCTTGAATCTCTCGCTTACAATCCTCTTTACTTCCAATTGAACAAGCCGAGAGGATCCTACATCAACGTAATTAAGCATGCTCTCGGCTCTTCTGGCGATATATACCTATGAAAAACTGTCCACTGTATCCCGTTCATCATTTCAAAAAGGAGCGATCCAATATACTGACCAGGTTAAATTACTTTTTAACCATAGGGTGCATAGGCTAGAACTGAGTTTCAGCGCCACCGTGCTTCGTCAGGCTTTGTTGAGATCATGGTAACAAACCAGGCTGGCTCCCTTGTACTACGTTCCGTGCCGTTTCTCCAACGGGAATAACTTTCATTAGCCTCCTCCTCGACGGAACCTCCCCCGGCGGTCTCTGATTCGTTACAGCCATTCACTTCTGGCATGCACATAAGCTGAAATCGATGCTGTATTCGTAGTGCAGATATGTACGTCGACATGCAGTATAACCTGGGCGTCTGGAGCAGAAACCCCAAGCTGTTTTACCATTGCTGATAGGTTTCCTGGCACGTATGCCACTGTTCATTGTACTAAGCCTGTTGACTGCACATGCATATCCGGAACTAGGTCCTGGCTTTTCCCCAACGAGGCACGCATGTCATTTGAGTGACAAGAGCCAAACCTCTGAAACTACTACGAGCATTCTATCAGCACTCACCGATTGAAGATGCCGACATGATCGCCTCCACTATTCAAGTTAGACGTGGGGCTGACGTTCCCTTTCTCCCTTTGAAGTACAATCCTCATCGTCGCTGTCCGTCCAAGATTGTAACCTCGAAACAGCAACCGGCGACTTTCCTCCGCCTTCTTCCCCCTAAATGGCTTCTATCATGCCAAAATCACGCATCGGTGATGCATAGCGGTATGGTCGTCTACTCGATCCAGAGATATGGTGCTCCATGTACCCGGAGCGTGGGCGAACAAGCAAGCTAGGACGCGTCTAGTAATTCGTTATTTCCACGCCATTCAGCTCTGAGCTTTCAATTCTGCTGGCTACATTTCGGACACAACATAATGCACATTATTATTCGTTGAGATACGCGAACCAAGACGCCATCTCTGGAGCTCTGGCCTGGCAACTGGCTGGCGGACTCTCTTGTACGGATACGGGCTCGGATCTTCAGTTCAGTCTATGACACAAGACGGGCCCAAACAATCAGAGGAACAGCTGATCCAAGTTGTATCCGTACAGGTATGGAATTGAATGGTTGAAAAGTCGTTGCAAGCCTAATCGATCACCCTGCAGTTTGCTTGTCAGAGCTAACCTGTGATTGGCTCCCACGCTTGAAGGTGAATGCACCTTGTTGGTGATAGCAGCCGACCATGAGCACCAAGAAATTTGCCATCAGGGCTTATTTAATAATGACATATCACCCACGAAACGGCTCAATAATAGAGTATCGAGGATTGATTTCCTCGCCATTCTCCCGTCTTTTGAGGAATGACCGTCCGTTCTCGTTGTATACCCCAACTATTGGCAGGGTCACATGGTATACATCACAGAATTGAGACCTTCAACAGTAAATACCATATTTTAACTGAATTATATGCCAAGACGACACCATACGTTATTGAAGGGCCTTCTTTGCATGCATGCGTGTGCATCCAGTTCCATGGCCTTGGAACAGTTTCACATTAACACCATCTCCTCACTGCGACTTACCATCAAGCTTGGCTACGTTCCACAACAGCTTGAAGACGAGCTCTGACCCAATGAAGTCAGCCAGCGACTGTGTTAGTCCCTACTGCACTGCACATGCATGTTTGGGCTTTATCAACAAACAAAAGACGAACAGCCATTGCTATCTAGCCCTCCTCCATCCAGCATTGATGATTCTCACTTACAACTCGGTCCCGTGGCACCTTCCCAAATGATCTGATGAACCCTTTAAGATCCATCTATCCAACAGTTGAAACGAAGTAACTACTTCGTTAAAGTCAGCTTGACAACAAGCGTCTTGGGCACGGACTGACTATCGCACCCGTTATACAGGACGAGTTAGTTCAGCCGTCAGCGCGAGGAGTCCAGTTTGTTGTATACTACATTAGGCTGTACGCAGGCGCAAACATATCTTAGCAAACCTGGCTGCTTGTGATTCCTCGCGTGTAGCTTAAGGCTTCACACGTCCACAATCGAGTCAGGTTTGATAGCCAGGGGATGTGATCAAGATACGAAAATGAGGCATGAGAGGTCATCTTAGGGGGTTAGTAGTCAAAGAAGTTCTCTTGTGCCGGTCAGGTAGGTCATCTCTCTATTCCATCTGCATATGTCTATTCCCTCTGCCTATATTTCTCTGGAAAGTTGTTTACTGAGCTCCATATATCTAACGAATCGTGCTCAATATACGAACCATTAGCAGTAGGGTGCTCAGTCCTCATGGTTCCTCTAAGTAATGCACTGATATTCTGTCCAACCCTTTCCCATTTGGAGCCCGTCACGCTTTTGAAGTTCTCCGGTCTATCATGTCGCAAGCCCACTCATCCATTGAATCTCCCCAAAAAATGGACCAAACATAAACCCACCATGCCCAACCAGAATGCCGCTGTGAAGAAACTCCAGGCTGTGCTCGCTTTCCCAAATCAAACCCTTCCGAAAACCTAGTAAAAAAGTGCCAAGTCGGCTATGGCAGAAAAAGAAGTAAGGTGTGTACCCTCGTAAGATGATATTATAGCTTGTAGTATTGCATGTTGGTCTGCTTCCATACCCACTGGCTGAAAGGTCGAGTCGGTTCAAGAAATAAAAGTAAAGAATTTGGCAAGGGTATCAAGTCATAAAAATATGCCAAGTGCATCGTATCAGAAGAGAAAATACAAACCCCGCATATGGATCTGTAGTCATAACTGATTAAAATAATAGTCGTCGAAAATTGAGAAGAAGTTGAAGAAGTACGGTTGAGGTGGTACTGTTCAAGGTCGATATTCTATAACACAGCATTGACCAGTGCTGCACTGAAGAGAGCAAGTACTAAGCCAACCCATGAAGGGGCAAATATATGCGCCAGGTTGGTCTCTTCTGGAGGCAAAGTGCTATTGACGAAATCTGGGCCACAGAGAGTGTTTACTTGTCGAGCTGCGCTTTCATAAGTGAGTGCGACAGGTTGAGAACGGTCTTCGGCGGCCGCGTGGAAGATGTTCATAGTCTCTTGTATACACCAACTGCATGAAGGGTTGGTGCTACCAGGTAAGGTAAGGTTATAAGGTAGGTAGTAGAAGTAGGCGTTCGCGGCGGTCGTGGTATTTGTGACAGCATTGGCGTAACAATACATATCATCCTCGGGTGTTTGAAGGCAGGTAGCCTTGTACATCATCTCGTAGGCTTTCATACCATAAAGGAACTGCTTGACGATGGTGTTGCCCGATTCCCATTCTTGCTTACAGTTCTCTGATGCAGTGAGGTTGCGCGCTGCAGCATCGAAGAAGTCAGTGCAGTATGTGACGTTTGCAGCACATGTTGCATCAAGCACTCGGACTATGCTCAAGAGCTGCTTCTGAGCTTCAAAGAAGCCACGGGATGTCTAGGATTTCGTTAATATTTATGGCCTACCTGCCATCTGTTGACTGAAACTTACCTGGAGCATCATGGAGAGGGGGTAGCAAGTTTCGTAAGAAGGGTCGGAGAGGATTCCATTCAGGAACGCGGGACAGTTACTATCTGATGTGGTCGAAAGCTCGGCTGACAAATTTCCATCAAAAGCTTCAGGTAAAGGTGTGTTTGTCGCAGCAGCAGTCTTTGCAGCACGTTGAATGGTGATAGTTGTTGCCTTGGATTTGCCCTCGGTTTTGGAAGGAGTTTCCTTGTTAACGATCTCCTTGGCTTCATCTTCATCCTTGCGTCGGTGTAGCTCGTATCGATTGATCGTAGGTGTATGGTGTCGTCGATGCCGGAGTGAAGATGATGGTGTCTCAGTACCCGCTAGGACTGTAGAAATAAGACATGCAAGGAGTAGGAGACATGATAATGCTATTCGCAAGCGGGGCGCGCGGTAGCTGGTGGGCTTCGGCCTACTGCAAGTCTGTTTTGAGGCAGGCCACGATGATGAAGCCATGATAACGAGCGACGAGGCGAAAGACGCCAAAGATATATCAATCTTATTTCAAGTATGTGCAGCAATCGAATTGATGGCGATGTGTACAACCTTTGAGTGGATTGGCAGCACAGACAATCACAAGATTGAATGTGTTTCACCACGATGGGCCCAATTTGACACGATTAAAGGGGATGGTAGGTCAGTATTCGATAGTGAAGCACGCACTGAAGCGACAGTTGTAGCGGTAGTGAGTCAATCAATTAGCGCCGAATGCGAATATTTAACAATTTCTCGGTGGGGGATCTTTATTGTTGTCGTTGCATAGCGCAATTGCAAGGTTCCAAGTCGGATGGCAATTCCGATGAGTGGGAAGTCAATGGATAAATGAGAATCGTTCGCGGGGGTCCTCTTGCAGCTTCGATGGTCGAGAACGAGTGTGATGCGGTGCGTGATATACCAAATGCGAGATGGGATTGGTTGCCAGGGGGGAGATGAGATGGCCGTAGAGTTGCTATTAGGTGTTCGAGACTTGCACAAATTTGATAGCGGTTGATGCGGCCAAGAAGTGCTTATTCAAAGGAGACAGGATATAAAGAAAGAACGAGTGACTGTATGTTGCAGCTGTAGTTGGAACTGTAGTTGAGTCTGGGGTTGAAAATGATCGTCGTGAGTAGGTCGAAAAGGAGTATTGGAGTTGGTGAGCATAGACGGAAGTTAACGAATGAATGGCGGGTCAAGAAACGAGTGATCGACGGCGGCTCTAACAGCACCTGAAGTAGAGGGAGGTCTGTAACTCAACGGCTGCGCAAGCAAAAAACAAAACGAAGGAAAGGAAGAGGGCGCCCACCACTTGATTAGAGATGCCAGTATAGAATCTAAGTGGATATCACGGGAAATGGGAGTCAGTGATGCCGGACAAGAAAGCAACAACCCCTACAAGGACAACCAAGTTGACTCTAGCGGGCCAAGTCGGAGAGACAAACTATTCCAGCCCAGGCCCTGCCTTGCTTTTGATGCTTGTCAATTTGACCAGGATCGAGCAGGCATCAATGAATCAATCATATTCAAGAGCAGAGAGACCCATGGCTTGAACCCAGGCAATAGCAAGGATAATTAAACCCTCCTTTGAGGCTTGCAGTAGTGTCTGTTAGCGCGACGGTTTATTGACTGGGCCTGATGAAGTGTGCTGTACCGTACCACCTGGAGTGTAGAGTGTGTACTGTAACTGGACAATAATGCGAAGTTTTGTACAAAATGAACTAGATAAATTGGTAAAATAAAGCTGCACAGTGATTCGGTTTAGGAGGGTATAGTGAAAAGTCTGCTAATAATTGATCACCCAACTCTGTGTACTGCCACCCACTCCGACAACTCTCTCCTGATACACAGACAAACCACAAAACATCAATTGTAGAAGAAGAGAAACCTCCTTCAGCGCCTTACGCGTCCATATTCACATTCTTAGGTTACTAGGGCTCAATTATGTTTCAAGCCCGGCCCGCTTACTACCGGCATCCTAGAGGAAACCTCCATTCTCCGAACGGCATTGCATGCCTACAACACTCTCATATTCTCCGGGTTACACGATTGACTGTTCATAAGCCAAAATGCATGTTCCCACATGTACAGGTCGAAACGGACATCGAGCTGAAGACGGTAAGGCTTAGAAAACCCCGTGATACACAGGCGACTAGAAAAGGGGAGGGTCAAATCTCGCTTCCCCATAACGGACCAGCCACCATTACCATGGATCCAGCCACGATAAGGCAAAAAATAGCATCTACAACCGATTTATAGCGTAGGTAGGATTGCTTCAGGGCATCACCTCATTCCAGGGTTTATTGGTGGGTGGTGGTGGGTGCTGCGGAGGGACTATCCGTTCTCGATCAGGTCTGTCAGTTGAAGTTCAGTTCATGCATGCATGCACACGACTGAAAACTTCCAAGATTGTTCATTCATTCTCACCGTTTCGTTTCATTCCGTCGCAATGTTTCGTTTCCTCAACTGAGATGGTACTCGTCAGGTTCAGGCCAGTACGGGAATGGTTCTATCCGCTGACGGTTATTCAGGTGGTGTTGATTTAATCAGCGATTCTCTCCCACCACTGTGCCTGCTTCCCAAGCTAGGACAGGCCCCTGAGCGATAAAAAGACTTAGGTGAGTCAAGTATAACTTAGTAGGCTTTTAGACTAGTTATTTTTGGCACCCTGACTACCCGATTAAAGGTCGGAAGTTTTCTTACTCCCTGAGGCCAAGTTGAATTCTTCTAACGTCCTCTCAATCTCCACCGAGACCCGATAGAGCTTCTCGCGTACCTTGCATGGTTCCGTAACGCCTAAAGTAATTTCCTTGGCTTCTTAGCTCTCTCCAATGAAAAGCTTTGCTCCCCTGCCAAGAAATCCCTGCCCTAGCTAAACTCTAGCCTCTGATGCGATGCGATGTGTTACGTCCCGATCATCAAGCGACTCTCAAATATGAACAACGCGATTTATTGCAAGCTTGTCTAAATATTGCATAGACAGCATCCAACAATTCATGCTTCACTCCAATGCCCTATCATTCAACTCTCATTCCCGCATTCTCAGCCGTTGGCTACCGTGCAATGTCAAAAGTCAGCAGAGACATTGTCTAAAACAATTGGGGACCCATTCAATCACCACATTCACCGCTACCGCCGTTGGATTATTCGTTTGGCCATAAACGTAAACGAGTGATTGATTTTTTATGGCCGCGTCTGCCGCCCAAGTTAGATACCTTAAACAATGCCGTTATCCCCTGCGTGTACCCGTCATCCATTATCGTCTTCTAGAACTTCCAGTATTGCTCGTCCAACCGCCAAGAATTGATAGTTGCAAGGCGCACCTACGAGTCTCTCAGCTGTCATGTTCGAGACCCTTTCCCCATTCCCTGTTGTGTAGATCGATACTGCTTCTGGTTGCCTCCTGTTTTTTATGTGCTGCTCCACGCGATAGCCATGTGGCGGCACTCAGATTGCCTCAGTGTGTCTAAACCACCATTCCTCATGGAGCCTGGGCATTAATCACACATTCACAGTTAGCACGACGGTCAGTGGCATGACATTGAAATTTTCGAAGAGAGTTGATTGATCAGATGGTTATACATCAGAAATATTACAAACAATAATGAGAAAATGTCCTCCTTGCTTCAAGAGGGGGATGTCCCTACTAACAACGGATCGCCCAAACGCCAATACAATGCAACAAAGTCACACAATTCCGCCTGAGTAATCACCAATCTCCCAACATTACTTTACTTTGGCTGGCACTCTACCTCTGCTTCTCGAGGCTCTGCAAGTTAACCAACTCAGCGTAACGTCCATTCTTCTTCATCAGCTCCGTATGTGTTCCTTGCTCAACGATACGACCCTGATCAAAAACGTAAATGACATCAGCCTTTTGAATGGTGCTTAGACGATGCGCAACGGCAATGGTGGTTCGGCCCTTGGCCGCCTTGTCCAACGCTGCTTGTACCACATGCTCTGACTCAGAGTCTAGGGCCGATGTCGCTTCGTCAAGGAGCAAGATCTTAGGATCTCGGATCAAAGCTCTTGCAATAGCAATCCGCTGCTTCTGCCCACCAGACAACAACGCACCCTTACTACCAACAATAGTGTTGAACCCATCAGGAAGTGACACGATAAAGTCATAGATATTGGCTTCACGAGTCGCATGCTCAATGTCTTTATCTGAGACATCCTCGCGGGCAGTACCTAAAAGGATGTTGTCCTTGATGGTTCCTTGGTAAAGTGTAGGCTCCTGACTGACAAGCGCAATGTGTGATCGATAGTCGTTTATATTTAACGTGCTGATCTCATGACCATCAATGAACACCCCGCCGGAAAGTGGATCGTAGAATCGTTCTAGGAGCGCGATCGTAGTTGATTTCCCGCAACCGGAGGCTCCAACAAGGGCAATATACTGTCCAGGTCTTACGACAAGGTTCAGCCCACGCAGAACAGGTTGCTCGGGTCGAGTAGGATAACGAAAATGAACGTCACGGAACTCGAGAGTGCCCTCAACCTGAGACAGCCGCTCTCCGGTGTCTGACCAAGTGTCAACCACGGGCTGTCTATCAAACAACTTTTTGAGTTCTCCGGCAGCGTGGTGCGCTTTACCCATGTCAGGAGCGAAGGAGAAGATCGTTCCTGCTGATTGTGCTCCGAAAATGATTGCCATAAAGCAGAGGAAGAACTGAAACATGCTCAGTTCGAACTTCCCTATAAGAGTGCCGCCATACCAGAAGCCGAGCGCGAAGCATGCGAATAGCAGGGACTGTGAGGCGGCGTAGAGTGTAGAGGATTTCAAGACCGAGATCAAGCTCTTGCGTTGCTGTATGGCCAGAGAGTCTCTGTACTGCTTCAAAACATCATCTTCTCGTGTCAACGCAGCGACGGTTCGGATGGCGGATATTGCCTCCGAAGCAAAGCTAGCAGAGTTGTCGTAGGCAGCCTTAGAGCGGCGCTGAAAATGAGCGAGCATCCAGAAACGGAAAAAGCCACATCCCAGGAGGACTGGGATCGTTGCGATACACACAAGTGACAGCTTCCACTGAATTGCTAAAGATAGAACAATGGCAGAAATGAGGGTTGTGCCAACCATTAACAGCGTCCCCAGAGTCACGCCGCTCAGTCCAGCAACGTGAGTTGTTTCAGTGGAAAGAAATGAAGTGAGGGCTCCTGCGGTGTTCTCATCGCGGTCAAAGAAGGCAACGTCTTGGCGAAGCATGGTTCGGAAAGCTCGGTCTCGTACTCTGTGGACCAGTCGCTCGGAACATTTAGCGAACAAGACACCCTGAATGATGAATGCAAACAACTGAACAAAGGCGAGCATGAGATACATGGCGCTCCAGAAATCAGAATCTTTCTTGATTTGGTGGCGGTTTTGATCTGTCACTGGCGCTGAAAGAGTCGTGATCTGCTTGGCAAAGAAAACTGTATCAAAATTAGCCAAAGCGCGTTACCTGAAGAGAGAAAACAGAATTTGGCTTACCAGCTTGGGTAGGGTTGCCTCCACCACAGATAGCAGAGAAGAACAGACCAACAACCATGAGCTTCCATTCCCTAGTGTTGAAAGATGCAATGAGTTTGATAAGTGTCCACATGCCATACTCTTGTTCACCCTCCGCTTTGCGACCTTGAAGAGCCAGACTCGATGCAGATTTTGTGGTGCTGGTGCGATCTAGCTTGGCTGCGATGTCATCGTTAGGGTCGGCGATGATTGCAGTTTGCTTCTCGCTTGTCATCTTCCGCATGAGTGATACTTCCTCCTCGTCAATGGCAGCCTGCTCCTCAGCAGTCGTTTCCTCAGCGGCAGCAATGTTTTGGGCCGAAACGAGCCTGAAGTATGCACTCTTCTTCTCTAGAAGTTCGTTGTGAGTACCCTGTTCTACAATTCGACCATCAGACATTACAACGATGTTGTGGGCATCCCTAATAGTTGAAAGACGATGAGCAATGGTGATGGTTGTACGACCCTCAGAAGCATTCTCAAGGGCAGCCTGCACAACACCCTCCGACTTGGTATCGAGAGCGCTTGTTGCTTCGTCAAGGAGGAGAACTAGAATCATGTTAGTTCAGAGAATGTCGACTTCTCAGGGGGAAAATGGGGCGGATGGTTCTGGGGATGTAACAAAACTTGAGGTTTATCCTAAGATACCCTAAACTTGCCTAAGTATCAAATCTAGGTTTTCTTAACTTAGGCAGGTTTAGGATATCTTAGGATAAACCCAAAAGTCTCTTAGACTTTGGTCAAAGATCTCAAGTTTTCCCTCCAGTCCGTAGACTTACTTTTAGGGTCAGAAACGACGGCACGAGCGATAGCAATACGCTGCTTCTGGCCACCTGAAAGGAGAAATCCTCGTTCTCCAACGTTGGTTTCATATTTTTCGGGAAGAGCAGAAACAAAGTCATGCGCGTTTGCCTTCTTGGCTGCTTCGATAACCAGTTCACGCTGTTTTTCCTCGCTCGCATCTTCATACTTGGTGCCGATCAAACCGTGACGAATGTTGTTAAAGATAGTAGTGCCAAAGAGTGTAGGTTCTTGGCTGACAAGAGCCATTTGCTGTCGTAGCCATCGGAGATTAAGCTTAGAGATATCGTGCCCATCCAGGTAAACTGTGCCTTGCACAGGATCGTAGAAGCGTTCAACCAAGCCCACAATCGTCGATTTGCCCGAGCCTGAGGCCCCAACGAGAGCCGTCACCTTGCCGGCAGGGATTTCAAGACTCACATCATCCATAACCGTGACTTCCGGGCGAGACGGGTAGATGTGTTTGATGCCAGAAAGCTTGATGGAGCCTTGGATTTCCTCGAGCCTCTCACCCTCATTGCTGGAGGAATCGAGGGGAGAAACACGATCTATTGTATTGAAGATCTTGGCAGCAGCAGCAATGGCATTCGTAAAAGCCTGTGAATAATATTAGCTTTTACATAGTACATAGGTGATATCTATCCAATAACGCGACCTGCCGGCAGCAAAGGCCGCAAATCATAGCTAGAGGAGTGGAAGAAGCTGGGAGAAACATACCTGAATGTTGGGAGCGACGTTACCTAGGTTGAAGGCACCTATCATCACGGCCATAAGGATAGTGAGGATATTGGAAAGTGAAGTTTCACCATCCACAAGCATCTTGCTACCTTGCCAAAAGGCAAGGCCATAGTTGAGGTACAAGACCAACATCATACCTGATTTCATTAGAAATTTGTACTGCTAAGAATGTTTATGAAAAGAAAATGGAAACTTTTAAGGATGCTAGGAGGGAAGAATACACAAGACTAGTGTTTGGTGGTAGGTCGCTAGGTTGTGGTGGAAGCCATTCGCATGTACCGTCCCCGCCCCACCTCCAAAAGGAGTGCTAGATGACCCCCAAGATGATCAAAAGTAGAAAGATAACACATACCTGCAATCATACAAGCGACAGCGCCTTTGACCCGGAAACCGAAGTGCTCAGCATTCTTGAGGTGTGCATCGTATTGTCGGGCAAGTCTTTCCTGGGTACCAAATGCTATAGCGTTGCGAATAGAACTTATTACCTCATCTGCAAGACTTCCTCCATGAGCATAGGCTTCAAGACTTTGTCGATTGTATTTTAATATGAAGGACGAACCACCGCCCATGTTGATCAGAAGAGCAATGACGGTGGAAAAAAGGATCAGGGTCAGTTTCCAGTACTTGATGAAACCGATGATAAAGGCCGAGACGAATGTAGCCACAGCTGCAAGAGTGAGAGACACCTTCTCGGAGATGCCATCTTGGATGAGATTCGTGTCGGATGTAATTCTTGTGGTGACCTCACCTGCGCCAAGCTTGTCGAAAAACCCGATATTCTGGCGTAAACAACTTTCAAGGTAATGCTCGCGGATTTTGGCAGAAATATGCTCGCCGGTGTAAATGAAGCCACAGGTCGACACATACACGACAATGAATTCGCCAATGCCTAAATAGACAAAGTACAAAACAAATTCCACCAATTTATCGTTGAAGGCACTGGAGCTCAACGTACGATTCACGAAAAAGTCTTGGAAAACGCCCTGGAGATTTCCGAAGACAACGGTCATAAGAGGAAGCGCAGCGCCGCCAGCAATAGCGCAAATACTGGAGACTATAATGATGAGGATGTCGTTACGGGAGGCATATCGGTATAGTACAGCGACACCCTGCTTGACTTCGGGACTAACGACTTGGCGTCGCAATACCTCGGCTTCGTCAGGTGGCAAGTGTCGATAATGATCCTCGATGTTTTCTACTTTTGGGGGCACGATGACTGCTGAATCGGCCTTTGTTAAGTCCAGCTTTTCGTTGTTGGGGTCGCTCGAAGATTTCATATGTGGGCGAGCTGCATCTTTGTCGGTTGAACCACTCCCGCTGTGGCTTGACGACGATGGTCGCGAGGGATTGCTGCTACTTGTTGCAGCGGCTGTCTTTTCCGAAATTTCGGCCATGGTGACGATGTGACTCTTGGAGAACCAGCGCGTATGTTGATTAAGAAGAGGAAGGGCTCAGTAAGTTATGGACAGGGTGAGAAAACACCCTTGGACGAAAAGGAAACACCAGTAGGTGTTGAGTTGAGGTGGTTGTCGTCGAGATTAGCGAATCATGCGTATTGAGCGTCCATCTATCTTCGCATAGAGAATTGAAATCGAATGCGCTGCAACACGGGCAAGGATGGGGCCCCAGATGAGCAGTCTCCTATATGTACGGACTGTGTTGGTGATAAACAGTGGGCGAGGGCGTCTGTTTTATTTCTCGATCGAGAACACAAGAAAATGCGACTCGAGATGAATGAACAATTTATTTAAATAACTGAGCTTGGGCAACACATCCACACCCTCGCTCCATCTGTTGGACTGGCTTAGCGTACCTTGCTGTCGGACGGCGGGACACAAAAAGGGCACCGGGAATAGACAACCTAGCAGGCCTAGTCAGAGGTCGATTACGCTTCGTTTCCCTTTCCCGCTAAACGAATGTCCGATCCGCTAATCATTCATTGGTGACTCCAATATGGGGTTCTTACAGATTGGGGCATCCTTGGTGAAGAATGTTCCATTGTCACTTGTCACTCATGCTCAGGCGTATTCAAGGCCCCGTAAGCCGGTCCAATACAGGGATCTCTGATCTGTGTGTCATCTCAGCATCCAATGTCTTGGGAGCCCAGCGATCCCTGTGGCGATGGAGACTGTACAATCCTGCCGGTGTAAAAGATGCGTATGTACCAGTTGTTTGAGTCATCTCACCGCGTATATTGTCGTTGGCTGTCTGTCTCTAACTATCTTGAATCATTGGATCTGCCCTCGGACTCCCGCAGTAGTCCGACAACCCGTAGTGGGTAATCCTACGGAGCGAAAATGCATCTATGCTTACTCTCACCCTTCAACTCGGTTAGGCTGAAAAGAAAAGGTAAGGAATTATAGTCTTTGTTTTATGAATACCAGTACATATTAAATTTAATAATTCTAGCAGTTCAACATCTCTCTCTATGATTTGATTATTTTGATCTATTAAACGCATCATTGGTAACTTGACAATTTTTTCTTATAAAATAAATATATTTCCTCTTCTATCTTGTAACTCTTGGCTCCACATTCATATCTCCTGCCTTTTCCCACCGACGATCGATCAGACTATTTGTACCAGAGTGCGGTTAGATGACCGAGCTTCTGTGGACCAATTCTGCGGCGTCGAAACGGTTGCTGCTTTCGGACAGCGCCCGGCTCGCTTCACTCTGCCACTATCGGTTTACTTTTATTACTCCAGGCTTCGGAGAGACTGGAACCGGGTAAATAATAAGCACGGGACTTCGGCACGCTTCGTTGCCACGATTCGGACGAATTTCATCTAAGAGCCCTTGGACGCAATAACCACTATTGGGCGATACATTATTGATCCACTCCACATGACATGCCTCGAGCAGAAGCCATGATCAGTGAGCAAGAGCAACTTAAATGACACAGCGCTGTATCACAGGGGGCGAGCATTGCGATACACAAGCCGTTGTGCATCAGATTCATGTCACCTCGATGAGGTTCGAGTATGGTAGCATCTCTGGTACACAGGTGGATCTGTATGCTGCACAATAATGAGAAGAGCAATAACAATCTCGTTCAATACCTAGTGAATGTGGTCTTCAGGAGAGTCGGGTAAACTAACAGTCCTGTTCAAGATTAGTGGTGGTCATCGGAGATCGGCGAGTATTTGATGCCGGTTCCCCGATTCTGCATTGAAATTTTGGCCCAATGTACTATGTATAATGAGGCTCAGAGGTGATCGGGCGCTCCCGAGTCCGAATTCCGGTCATTAAACTTATTTTCGTATCCGTTACTGGTGTTAGTTGGTAAATCCGATAAATTCTAGATTGCGTGGCTTATTATGATGACGAGCCTAACCAACAGCTTCGTAATTCTCGCATTCGCGAAGATGGATGGTTGCAACTCGGTAATGCAAGTCAACCACATAATAACTTCCTGTTGAATGCACAGATAGTGTGGAACGTGGGAAGCCGCTCGGGCAGTGCGCTTCAAATTTTGTGCTCTATTCTGGAGCGAATTTTCCAAGTCATCAAATCACTATCGGTCTGTGAAGTCAGCCCTAGCATCTTTAATGGCGTTCATCTAGGAGGCTGTGGGTTGTCGTGAATTCTATCTGCGTGGAGCCTGGAGGATTTTGAACATTACTCGTTTCATACAAGGCCATATGTAATCGAGCGAAAGATCTTGCACCCTAGGCCATGTATTATCAGCATCCTTGCTCAGGGACTTATGCCAACACGATGCATCCTGCTGCTGCTGTTGTTATCAAATGAGTTTTTTCCGAACTTGACTTGTACGCAACGACGGGCGCGTTCGAGTAGACCCCATGGCCGTTCTATCGAGTGTTTTCAAGGGGCATTCGTGTGAGACAAAGCATGACAGTGCTTGTATTGTGTCGCTGTGACCGTCAGGCTGATGACATCTCTAGGGGAGACAAGAAAACTAAAGGCTTCGACCCAAATGACAAAAAGATTTAGGTAAGTTAGCATAAAATTAGGGGGCTCTTCAGTAAGTTTATTTTTGGCATCCTATCTCAAGGTCTGAAGTTTTCTTGCTTCCCCGGGCATCTATTTAATAATATTCTTGTAAATAAGTACAGGTAAGGTTCCACAGTTTCATATAAAGGATTGTTTCATGGTTATGGGGCGATAAACGAGGATGCTCCCTGCTAGAATCGCACTCACCCTGGAGCTGACGACATGTGAAGTAGCTTCTTGCGAGAGGCTATATATGGAGTGTATATTGATTCGGTATTACAGTAGTAGAGTAGATGAAGATTCATATCATTCTGAAAGTTTTAAAATAAGATACCGGACTTAGGTTATAGTGCTGTAAACTTAGAACAATAATCTCAATTTCAGTCGTAGCTTGAAACCTGTATTATGCGGACCATGATCTCAAAGATGGAACAGTAGCATGACATGAATGACTTGTGCATTGGGTAGAGAGATATTGAATCCTGGCTTATGATGCTAAGTGCATGATATTGGATGTACATCGTGAAGTCCTCACTCCGACGACCAGTACCGAATGAAGCAGATGTGGTTTACCTACAGTATGAGCTTCATGGATTATTACTAGGCAGAACGCAATGAAAATTGTATGACTTTGTATTCTTCTTATTTTTTTCTCGACACTACCTTATGTTGCTATAACCGAAGTCCTCTCGAACCAAAGATGCTTACGTGGGGCTTCAATTAGGACAAATTGGATGCCATGATGGCAACCTTGGAGATTCAGATCAGCGAGATAATCGAATACACTGTACCTACTCATGAGAACGAGACAAATGTATTCGTATCTCCAGAAGGCCAGGGCTCTTTCTACAGCTGTCAATACAGAGTTTGGCCATTTTTGCTCCCCATGACTACTACTTCAAGCCTTAGGCAACAACCGTCTTTTCGTCTTTTCATTGGATGCTACCACAGGCTCTGAACAAGTCATCAGAGCTTACTAGAGATCGCCACATCATCTCATTCAAGCCCATCTTTAGACTTCTTCTTATCGCCACGGCACGTGTCCAACCCAACACGTCTCCTTCTGTCCAAAATAAAACTAAACTCCTATCACTTCCAAAACCTCACCATACTCGCCATTTGAGAATCTTGCGATAAGCATACGGGCATAGGCTCGCAGACACTGTCCGTATAGTCGACCCTATAGCGTCATAGCCCCCCAAAATCATGATACCTGGCACTCTCGCCTGGCTACTTGCACTGCCGGCTCTTGCGCTGGCCGCCCGCCCCAAGGATGCCATCAAGCTTTCCGATGTGCGATCTCTCACCCTCCGCGGCAATGGAGCCATGACGAACCATCGCCGTGTTGGTGCTATCCCCCAACTGCGCTGCGTCTCCAAGAAGGCGCTCTGTGAACTCTACGACATTGATGTGATGCGTTGCTCCAACGAAGGGTCCGGCTGGGGTGATGAAGATATTCAATGGAGCTGTACTGCCTCGCTTCCAGAGGAGCTCAAGCTTGTTACTACGGATGTGATCTGTGAAGGTTATAACTCTCCCGACGACCCTTATGTTCTCAAGGGTAGTTGCGGTGTTGAGTACAGAGTTGCCTTGACAAGGAAGGGCGAACGTCGTTATCCAAACATCGCCAACGGAGGATGGTTTAGTGACGGCAGAGGTGGTACCGACTGGGGGGCTCTACTCTTCACGATTATTTTCGTTGCTATTCTTGGCTGGATCATCTACTCAGCGTGCTACAGAGCACAAGAGGCTGGCGGCAACTCTAACCGACCACGACGCCGTCGCGACGGATGGTCATCTGGAGGATGGGGCCCTGGATGGGGTCCTGATGGCGATGACCCTCCACCTCCATATCCCGGTTCTAAGCCTTCTTCGCAATCCGACACTTGGAGACCCGGGTTCTGGAGTGGTGCCGCAGGAGGAGCCGCAGCAGGATATTGGGCTGGTAGCCGTAATCAGCAAAACCATCACAATCACCACAACGATGGGTATGGCAGCATCGGACGTGGAGGTTCTGGATGGGGTGGTCGTTCTGGATCGTCTTCTGGATCTAACAATTCAAACCGTCATGAGAGCACTGGTTTTGGTTCAACCAGCCGTAGATAGACAATCACCCCATTGGATAGATGTACCAGAGTTTCCGAAACTCTCATTGGTAGTATAATCGACGCTTTCCATTTATCCTGCTATTTCATACACCGACTCTCAACCACCCCTGCCCCCGAGACCCTCCTTTCTTTACAAAGAGTATATAAATGCATACAGCGGCTCGTGTAGTGTTCCGCTGAGTGTTTTAGAAATACACGGATGACTTTCCAAGAGTAGCCATCTAGCCCAGAGAAGAAAACCGTCAAGATGCGCTGTCCAGATCATAGTGGCCCAACGTAGTCCGGTGAAGGCGGATATGTGGCCACTCCCAAATGCCTGAAAGGTATAGGATGGATGCTCAATGCTTGACGCAAGCAATTAATGAAGTAGAAAAAGAGGTATCGCATATATAAGGGACAGAAGTAAGGTGCAAGATAGGTCGTTTCCATGGCGCTCTCGGTGCGTTCGTTCAATGATGGACGGGCATAACGTCCATCTTGTCAAATGCTCGGGAGCAGGTAGGACATTTCCGCATGCGATTGCTGATGCGATCATCCACACATTGGTTGCAGAATAAGTGGCCACATGTCTTCAACGCCGTGTTCTTGAAATTAATACGACAAATAGTGCATAAAGCGAACGTCTAGAAGCGGGTTAGAATGGGTCAAAACATCAGGGTTGTTTTCTTGTATCACTTACCCGAAGCATTTCTTCTTCTTCAGACGCATTGCTCAATGCCTTATTCTTCCAATTGTCGCGATCTTTCTGTGCATGCTCGAGGCGTACCTTCATCTTCTCCACTTCAGTCTCTTGCATTATGTTGCGCTCACGAACCACGGCAGACGCCGCATCTTTAGATTTGACCAAGTTTGTCAAGTCAGCAACTTGCTTGTTCAGAGATTCAGTACGGCGAAGAGCATCGAGGCTTGCCGTTTCCATCTTCTTGTTCTCCGTCATCAGGGCGGCATTTGCTTGTTTCAAATCGGTCAACTGTTTATCCAAGTTACCCAGTAGGGTACGGTTCTGTGATTCGAGGTCCTTGAGCTGGGCGATGATTTCCGAACTCTTGCTGTTCTGGTGCCGCAATGATCGAATCTCGTTGTTGCGTGTATCTGCGTCCTTTCGCGCGGCAAAGTATTTCTGGTCAGCTTTACTCTTCTCTGCAATTAGAATCGCCATGCGTTCCTCTGCAGCACTGGTATCCATCGCTTTCTTTTGAGCGATTTGAATTATCTTCTTATATGCCTTTTCCATAGCAGGGAATTCAGTATTAATAGAGTTGAAATCCCGTTCAAGTTTTGTATACTGCAGACGAAGCTCGTCAATTGTCAATGCTTCGATATCCGGGCTAATAGCTTGCTGGTCCTCGCTCGGTTGAAGGCGTGAAAGTTTTGATTCCAGAGCCGTAATTCTATCCTCTTTGGCAGATGCCAGAGCCTTGACTTGATCGATTGATGCTCGGTCCTGTTCTAACCTTGCCTTATGTTGCGTGGTTTCAGCCAGCAATTCGTCGCGTGCCGATCGCACTCGGGCAAGATCCTGATCTCTGGAAATGATCTCAGCTTCAAGCTCCTGCGTCACCTGGTTTGCGTCTGCTTCGAGCTGAGTTCTGAACATCGACCGCTCTGCTTGTAGTTTTTCGGCTTCTTCTCGCAACTGTTTGTTTGTGGCTTCAAGGGTGTTAATCCGTTTGATGAGATCCTCGTTCTGGTTTTTGAATTGTTTGAAAACGTCAGTCCGGATGAAGTCTTCATCGGTTAAGGTCTCCCTCTTCGCTTTGAGAGTCGTGTTCTCATCCTGAAGTGTCTTAATTTCAGCCAGGATGACATCGAGTTGTTCCTTTTGCTTGGTAGCAGCTGCAGTTGCCTCTTCATACTTGAGCAATAGTTCACCCGCATTGCCATTTGTCTCGCCGGCCTCAGCACTCCCATCGCCAGATGCAGAAGGGCGAGTGGCATTAGCAAATGCTTGTTGTTCCAGCTTCTGCACTTGAGAACTTTTGGCACGGTCCAGTTTCTTCTCCGCTTTGAAGTATCGCAAAGTCGCAGCATTCAGTTGTTCAGACAGTTGATCTTTTTCACTCTTCAATCGGTCCAGTTTGAACAAGTATTCCTTTTGTGTTGCCAGCAGACTTGCAACCTTATTCTCCAGCGTAGCAGCGTCAGGGTCAATCTTGCCTCGCGAAGAGGCCAATCGTCCAAGGAGTGCTTCAGCTCTGGATTTGATCGTCTTTCCTTTGTCAGATAGATGTTTCTGGAATTCATGAAGATCCTTGAAAGTCACGCCACTTAGGTATGGAGGATCTGCTAATAAGTTAGAAAAAGCACGGCTGGCAACATAGAACAAAGGACCTCATACCAGACGGTGTTGTAGAAGTGATCTCGGAGTCCGAAAGAAGTTCCATTTCCTCAAGCACCTGTCTCTTTGTTTAGCTATACCACGGATAGTGGGGACTGGAGAAGGGTGGGACAAACCTGTCGCCACCAAGCATCGATAAGTCTCAAGTGGTCATCATGATGGACAGATCGTTTGTGAAGTTCTTCGAGGCGTGACTCGTACGTAGAAGCCTTGCGACTATATTCTTGCATCTGCCGGTAGATGGCGCCCTTTGTATAGGCCTGATGATTGGGTCAGCGATATTTCCACCTCTATGCGCCGAGCAAGTTGCGTGATGTTTTCTTGGGTTGTGCGGAGGCGCTTCTCATTTAGGTGCATGACGAATGCACTTCCGAGCCGACTATTGCGGTGTCGCAAGAAGCAGGCGAGCATCATCACTGGCTTGGTGAGCAATGCCGTCCAGGACCATCCCAATAGAATGGCACGAAGCCGGGAATAGAAGTCTGCGTGATAGGCAGAGTGCAGGGAGAAACATGTGGTCGGATAATCAGGCGTTGGCAATAGGAGATGTCGTGTGACTTACCTCAATCCAACTTTCCTCCTTCATGTCGGAAGAGTCATCTTTAGCCTTGGAGCCATTGACGGCAACTCGCTTGCTCGGAGGAGCTATATCATCGGCACTGCTGATGGCAGGCCGTTTCCTGTCCTCCATCTTTGTGACTGTGGATGGACGAGGGGAGGCAGAGGACGTGGTTGTAAGAGGCATCAGAAGTCGCGTGGCATAGGGCAAAAGGGCGGACACGTTGCCAAAGAAAAGCGACGGGTCGGTCGTGCGAGCGCTTTCAAGCCAATTCCCGTCGCGAGCGAAGACGTGCGAGCGATCATCAAGTGATGGCGCGGGGAAGTGTGTTGTGATGATGGAACGTTTTCTCGGGTAAGGAGTTGAAATTTCGAAGTTGAGTCGCAGAACAAGAAGCGCGGCGTCTCCACCTCGAAAGGGATTAGTATCAGTCTAGCTTCGTTGGGAAAGTGGAGCTTTTCTTATCGATTTGCATGGGCGGATAATTCTCGCCCACTGGACTGGGCATTTATCTCCACCATCCCGCATTTTATTTTCTGCCTTTTTTCTGGGCTGCTTGGTATGAATACTTTTCAGTCTCTGAATCTTTCTCGTGTCGCAATTCGGAAATGTCAACACAGATAACAGATCGGAAATCGCATACAATACATGCATGATTAAACGCTTGCGCAATGAGCTCCATTTTCAAAAAGAAAGGAGGGCCTGCCTTCAAACCTAAGATCCCCGCCGCTCGACGCCCCGCGGCACCAGCACCCTCACAACCTCCCAAAGCACCACCAGCTGCTTCTCCTCCGCAGATCTCAAAAGAGTCAAAAGTCCAGAATGAGTCCCAGAGATCTTTAGAACCACCGTCACCGAAGGATCTCGTAAGCGTACCCGTTGAACCGCAATTTCAAGATTCTCGTGAACTTGGTCGCCATCCTCCTACCCCACCATCGACAATCCCGGATCCTCAAAAGCCGGATGAACATGCTGCAACTGAAGGGTCTGCCCAGGAAAAGACTCCAGAAAGAACACAAAGTGAACCCGCGAGCCAGAATACCGAAGTCAACCCTGAAAAAGCCGGTGTGCCTGCTACGGCTAGGATAACTACAGTACCAGCGGCTGCCCAAACGACAACCCCAAGCGAGCAAGAACAAAGTCAACAGCCTCCGGCACAGTACAGTGAGGTTCATTCAAGTAGTACAGACGATGCGCCGTCTCCTGTTTTGCAAACACCAACTCCAGATGACTCGGAAGGCCCAAGTGGAACTGAACTTTCAAACACACCATCTCTCCCCGCTGTTGACTTGAATGATACACGCGAAGAGACCTCAGGAGAACCGCATAATGTACCCAAGTCAACGAGGAGGCCACGAACCAGGAAGCAGATTGACCAGGCGACCCAGGATGAGGCTAAAGGAGAGGGAGGCTCGCGACCAAAGAAACGTCAGAGGAAAACCGACGAAGAAAGCGTAGCACCTAAACAGCCCAGAAAACGCAGGACTACCCAGAGCGGTACAAGTACACCTAGAAACAGACGAGCGCGCTCAGTTACACCAGAAGATTCAGAATCTCAACTGGTGGACTTACAGAAGCTTAAGATGGCTGATCTGACCAAGGATCTTCACATCGGAAAGAAATTCAGCAGGCATGACGAGTTACGAGAACGAGAGAGACGGGCAAGAATGAAGAACAAACTCGGAATTGACGGCGAACGTGATAGCTCAGCAACCCCCGACGACGGTGGCCAAGGAGAGAAGATTGGAAGCCCTGTTGCATCGTCTCCAGCTCCATCGGTTCCAACTCCAGCTGCACCTTCAGGACCTCAATTCCGTATTGTTGATGGGCAGATCGTAATCGACCAAAGCTCGTTGGCTGTGGACAGACATGCTCGAGCAGCCGCTGCAGCTGGAGATATGGAAACAGTCGAAGAAAACGACTTCACTCGCCTCATCACCAGCAACTCGTTCATGAACACCTCCAAACTTAAGGGTCCTAATATCTGGACCGACGCAGAGACAGAGCTCTTTTATCGCGGTCTACGCATGCTCGGTACAGACTTTGAGATGATTTCCAAAATGTTCCCGGGAAAGCAGCGGCGTCATGTCAAACTCAAATTCAATCGTGAGGAGCGTCATTGTCCACAGCGCGTCAACTCTGCTCTCATCGGCGAGAAGACGGTAAAGATAGATATCGAAGAATACAAGGCTTTCACCGGTAGCGAGTTTGAGCCAGTGGCAGACATCGAGGCCGAGCAGCGCAAGATCCAGGAAGAATACGAGGCTGAGGAGAAGCGGCGAGCCGAGGAGCAGGCCGAGATCATGCGCAAGAGACGTGAGGAACTGTTCAAGGATGATGACGAAGGCGACGCGAAGAAAAAGAAGAAGAAAAAGAAGCAAACAGTAGCCTACGGGTTGAACGGCGAACCCATTGCTCAAGAGGCTTAAGTTGGGAGAGGACACAAATCAGGCCGATATCAGGATCAAGGTCACGTCCAAAATCGGAAATATGATTCGGGCGGCGTAACGGGGACAGGCATGATACCCACAGGGTTTTTGGTATTTGCTCATGAATGAAAGAAAGGTTTACAGGAATTGGCTTCGAGAGCGGTCTCTACAGAATAATAGTCCTCCTAGGGTAAGATACACAATGTGGATTTCTAAACCAGCTTATTAGCATACATCATTGTGATATGTTCAGTCCAGTACTGGAATAATGCATTTTTTTTTTAACTCAATGGATATATCAGGATTTCTCAACAGCGTGTAGCAATATGGTACTGGAAGCTTACGATAGATACTATAATAACCCCCACAGCAAAACAAGCGATCGAAGATGATATACTTCTTGTTAATATTGCCTCAAAGATCTATGTTGGTAATGAGCGATCGCTCGGTGAAAATGAGCCAGAGGAGGGACTCCCAGAGCCAGGACAATATATACTTGTTAGCGAGGAATATCTTGTAGACGGAACTGCTGATGTGTCGGCATGACAACATCTGCGCGTGAAGGATGAAATCGTCTACGATCGAGGCAAACGAGGAAGTGGCTGCGATTTATCTGGGGATGATGAAACCAGAGCCGCCTTGCAAGTCACGATAGCATCTCGAAATGCACCGATATGGGCGTAAGAGTCTCGCTTTGCATGCAAGGGCAGCGTAGCACAGATAGCCGACGAAGTTTGATGATCGTTCTCCAGGTACTGTGGAAGAAGTGCTAAGAAGTCAAGAAAGAGAAAAGGGGGGAGTCGACGAAGGTTGGACCCAGCATGAACGACTTGAACGTGCAGAATTCTGCCGTAACTCTTGCAGCACGCTGCCACCACCACTTCGACGAGCCTCTTTCACTGGCCATGGAGATCGTTCGTGATGAACGTTCAGTGCTTCAATAATCCTTGTCTGAATTGAATTATATGTCAAGAATGGCATTCAAGGACTGACATACACTATTTATGGTAGCTTTAATATTTGGTTGTCTGTTCATTTTCGACTGGTTCCTCCATAGATGTATGTGATGTCTGTCTCTCTTCTCAACAAATCGTAGCTTCATACCATTCATAGAATAAATATAAGACCGTGGCTTGCGTCAAGTCAAGCTGGATATGCCAAAGATAGGGGTAGCAGGGTAGTAAGAGCGCTGGCATTTATATGCATAGACTTGGAGACTTTGAAAACGACGGAGTGAATAGCAAACTGCCAACTGGTGATTAGTGGCTGGATCTCAGAAATCTCAGCAGGGCGCTCCCAGCATGATTTGTGAGTGGTAGACGGCCGGGATTAGGGGTACAGCTATGTAGATGGCGGATAGTAGTGGGATACTCCTGTCTATGGATCGTACAAGGCCAGTGAGTCTCGTGATTGCCTCTGTACAAGAGCAGCCCAAAAGCCAAACTAAAAGGCCGAAAAATCACAGAAAGTAAAGAGAAGAACAAGGAGTCTTCCTGCCTCGCCTACCTAGTACGTTTGACAACCGGAGCGTTCCAAGTCTCACAATCCGACCCGGTGGTGGTTAGGTATGATCAAAATACCGCTGGTGCCTGAGAGGCCCATCACAGTTATCAAAGCACTTGCCGAAACCACATATTATAATCAACAATGCACACGCCGACTTCACACATCGACATCACGCATCCCATCAAAGCAACACCAACACCAACACCATACACACGCATTACAGTCATCACAGTCATCAAAGCACTCACATGCCATACCTGAGAGTATAGATATGTGCTATAGGAACCATACTAACATTTATAGGCCCAATATAACACGATCAATTGGTGGCGCTGGCGGTCAGGTGGCCGTGGCTTCAACGGCCCTTGCAGCCGGGTCTGTATATCTTCTCGTCCTTCTACTCTCCTGCTCTGTCATTTTCTAATTTTTTTTTTCTTTATCATAAAGTTATACTAATATATATCTATATCTATATAAAGCCATAAACGGGGCCATGAACACCACGATTTCTGGGAGCGCCTGTCACCAGGAACGACTTGCTCACTCTGCGAGGTGGCCGATTTAATACAGAAGGCAAAGCTGAACGGACTGAAGGCAAATAGTACAGAATGACTAAGTTCGAATTGTATAGTAACCATACTGTTATTATGTAATTAGACCTCATATCTTGGACTGGTCCAGTTCTTCAACCTGACTTCGACATCCCCTCATTCTACTCAATCAAGGCAGCTTGATAGGTAGTCACTATAAGACGATAAGGTAAGGAAAGAGGTAGTTGATACAATCCACAGTTACCGACAGAGTTCCCTAACCACCTTACATCGAGTGTTTATTTTCACCATGCAAACATAGAATGGGAGCTTTCTAGGATCAAGATCACCATTTATGCCTGCTCTATTAGCTGGGACCAATGGTTGCATTCTTTTCATGACCCTCTTCTGTTGTTCCTATCCCTGGTCCCTCGCCGTCGCCAGATGGTGATTCCACAGAGAATGCCTGGTTTGATGCCCTTTCCTTCGACTCATAATCGTAACGCGTATTGTTCTGCACAGCTCATCTACCCTTAATTGTTGTTGGGGGCAGGCTCATCATCCTCCGGTTGGTCAAAGAGGAAGTTAGCGGCTAGTTCTTCGTTCTTGTCGCAGGCAAAATAAGCCTGAATAGCCTGATCTCTATCGAATCCTAGACGGCACAGCTAATGAATGTCAGTGGTTAGATTCATGGTCGTATCGAAATAAAAAATCTCACCCTCTCGATGGCATCTCGTTCCTCCTCAGTGACCGAAATGGCCTGAGCCCCAGGAGGTAGGGGGGTGTCGTCATCAGCATATTCACCGAGAAGCTGGAGAAATTGGTCTGGATTTGTAGCAATCAACTCGGCCAATTGAGGATTGCCGGCTCCAAGCTGCTGAAGAATTGGCTCGAGCATCTGCGGTTGTTGCTGAACAACCTGGCGGAGTTGCTGGAATTGAGCATTGTGTCGCAGAAAGTCGAGGTTACCCAAATCGCCACCTTGTCCAGCAGCAGCTGCTGCTGCCGCCGCTGCCGCCGTCTGGCTTCCTCCATTTCCTCCTCGGCCACCAGAACCTCCACGTTGAGCAGCAAGATCGAACAAATTCACGCCACCCTCATCAGACGCACCCTGGGCGGAAGCGGCGGGTTGAGCTGGTTGTGAAGCAGGAGCCGCAGGGGCAGCCTCACGCTGCTGCTGCTCTTGTCGGATGTTGTCGGGAATGCCCTGTAATAAATCAAGTAAGCGATCGTGGCTCACGACGGCCCGGATAATTCAAGACGAACGTTGAGAAGATATTCGACAGCACGGTCAGGGTTGTTAAAGGCAGCGCGCATGGCCGCTTCGATCTGGCTTCTCTCAAAACCCATAGCCTCCATATTTGCGATCGCCTCGGTGCGCTGGGATCCCATAGCAAGGCCGGAAGGCTCCTCAGATTGAGCACCAGATCCAACATCCACAGAGCGCTGAGGAGTAGGTGTCGCAGGGACAGCAGCCTGATGAGATGAAGATTGCGCAGGGGCTGCAGGTGCTGCAGGTGTGTTGGCAACAGGTTGGGCGGGTGTGGCAGGTGGAGCACTGGATTCGGCAGCCTTGGGTTCGGGCTTGGGCTTTGGCTATTGCAAGCTGTCAGTATGTAGGCTCCCATCAAGGAGTCGGTATTCCATACCTTGTTCACCATACAGACCACAAAACCCTTCTCCTCGATGTTGTAGGAGCCAACAGTCTCTTCATCCTTGAGAATCTTGCCTTGGCATAACGTCAGCGGCCATGTAGTGCTACATAAGAGGTAAGTAAGTACCAGAGTAGATCAGCTTTTGCAGCTTGGGTTCCCATCCCTTCTCGGCTGAGATCTTTTCTTTGACGGCAGAAATCTATCAAGTGTATCAGCTGGCTGGAAAGGTTTGCGCATACAGCTACAAGCACCAACGCGGGGCAGGCATACCAGCTCAGAGGGCTCGACATCGAGGGTAAACTTTTGTTGCTTCAGATCCTGCAAAAGGTTTAGTCAACTTCCAAGGAAATGGAAAACGAGGACGGCCAATCGAGCCCATAGACGCAGGTGCAGCGGCCCACGTATCGTGACGTACCTTGAATGTGACCTTCATGATGGGCGAAGACTCTGTCGCTTTGAGGTGGGGAGGTGGGAGGCAAAGTGCGACCTGGGATTAGATAGAGTCGTCTCGTTCGGTGCAGGCTCGGTAGTAGAGTCGTGGCGATGCGTCAAGATCGAGTATTTGCTGACGAGGGGAAGAATGGGTGGGAGAGAGGTCGGGAGGGAGAAAATAAAATGGTCGACGTAGATATAGCAGAGTGTTGGAGGAAAGCTTAGTAGTTTACAGCCTGGACGAGGTTGACGTTTGGCTGAGGGAAAAGGTGGGGCATGAGCCTGTGAGTTGGAAGGGTTACTCTCGAGCCTACTACCACCAAAAATAGCCTAGTGTACCTTTGTCAGCCACTCCAGGCTACCAAATGGCTAGGAGGCGCGCGTCCTTCTGCCTGAGAATTAGAGATGCATTTAATCAGAGCCTCCATTGACTTATAGACTGTGAGCAAGAGAGCATATAGCACTGGGTACAGAAGCGGAGTAGATTTCTGCTGTGAAGCAATCCGTACGCAAAAATATACTTAGAGCTATATCATCCTGAAACTAAGTTGGGACCCCTTCTGTGGATGAGAGTCAATAATAGGACCATCTTTAAAATACACCTATCATGTTCTGGGTATTGACATCACCGAACTCAATATCTAATCCTTGATACAGAGAAGCTTTAGGTCCTGAACTTCTCTGGATTCGAACCAGTGATGGAAACTCGTAACACGTAACAGGAGAATTATAATAGAGATGTCTCCCACACAATTACCCTGCCCACGTGGTAACCCAAGGAACATCTAGATTTTCTCCGAGACAGTCTTGCACTACATCACGGTCACTTAAGATGTCAAGACCTGTTTTGCTTCATGAAGCTCAAAAATTTAAGCATGAAAACATTATTAAAGTCTTGACTCTGCCTCCTGACTTCATGACCTCCATCGAAGAATTCCTCAAAGTATTGTCGGAGATGAATATAATAAGTTTTTGGTCCAAGTGTTTGATATTGCTTCTAAGCTTTCTAGCTTTTGTTCTACCTTACAATGCATCTCTGTCGTCCATCCTCACGCCTCTAGCGCAGAAGATCAAGTCATAAAAGCGCCTCGCTATTTTCATTGGTATACACGTAATCCTACTCAGTTCGTTCCACCAGGTCTGTATGGAACTCTGAGTTTACCATCCGGTGGCGTCTGGAAAGATAAGAAAAGATAAGAAAATGGAGTCTGTCCATATCATAGTGCCCGCTGTGTTCACATGCCCCCTACTCATTTTTATCATTATACAGTCACTCATCCAAAGTGACATTGTTAGTTCTTCCCCTGTTTCTTGATTTCTCCATCACCTTCGTTGTCGATTTTTGAC